CGACATTTTCGAAACTTAACTAAATGCATTTTCTTGTAGATTTCGAATTCTAGAACTCACTTCCGGACTTGTTTCTCTGATAACTGCAACCGTTTTTCCAGAATCGACCGTCGAAAAATCGAAATTTTTAGAAATTTTTAAAAATTCGCATTTCATGCCGATTTTTTCGAAAATGTTGCTCCGTGACCATTAACGGGCTATATTTTTGGAATCAGCTTGTCGAGATCTACGTTCCTGAATTTTTTCAGAATTTTTAGACGACTTTTTTAAAAGTGAAATTTTTCCAATGGTCCCCCCTTCCTCAAATTTCGACCAAAATCCGACATTTTCGAAACTTAACTAAATGCATTTTCTTGTAGATTTCGAACTCTAGAACTCACTTCCGGCTTCGTTTCTCTGATAACTGCAACCGTTTTTCCAGAATCGAATGTCGAAAAATCGAAATTTTTAGAAATTTTTAAAAATTCGCATTTCATGCCGACTTTTTCGAAAATGTTGCTCCGTGACCATTAACAGGCTATATTTTTGGAATCAGCTTGTCGAGATCTACGTTCCTGAATTTTTTCAGAATTTTTAGATGACTTTTTTAAAAGTGAAATTTTTCCAATGGTCCCCCCTTCTTCAAATTTCGGCCAAAATCTGACATTTTCGAAACTTAACTAAATGCATTTTCTTGTAGATTTCGAACTCTAGAACTCACTTCCGGCCTCGTTTCCCTGATAACTGCAACCGTTTTTCCAGAATCGACCGTCGAAAAATCTAAATTTTAGAAATTTCCAAATATTCGCATTTCATGCTAATTTTTTCGAAAATTTTGCTCCGCGACCATTAACAGGATATATTTTTGGAATCAGCTTGTCGAGATCTACGTTCCTGAATTTTTTCAGAATTTTTAGACGACTTTTTTAAAAGTGAAATTTTTCCAATGGTCCCCCCTTCTTCAAATTTCGGCCAAAATTTGACATTTTCGAAACTTAACTAAATGCATTTTCTTGTTGATTTTGAACTCTAGAACTCACTTCCGGCTTCGTTTCTCCGATAACTGCAACCGTTTTTCCAGAATCGAATGTCGAAAAATCGAAATTTTGGAAATTTTCAAATATTCGCATTTCATGCTTATTTTTTCGAAAATTTTGCTCCGTGACCATTAACAGGCTATATTTTTGGAATGAGCTTGTCGAGATCAACGTTCCTGATTTTTTTCGGAATTTTTTGACGACTTTTTTAAAAGTGAAATTTTTCCAATGGTCCCCCCTTCTTCAAATTTCGGCCAAAATTCGACATTTTCGAAACTTAACTAAATGCATTTTCTTGTAGATTTCGAACTCTATAACTCACTTCCGGACTTGTTTCTCTGATAACTGCAACCGTTTTTCCAGAATCGACCGTCGAAAAATCGAAATTTTAGAAATTTTCAAATATTCGCATTTCATGCCGATTTTTTCGAAAATGTTGCTCCGTGACCATTAACAGGCTATATTTTTGGAATCAGCTTGTCGAGATCTACGTTCCTGAATTTTTTCAGAATTTTTAGACGACTTTTTTAAAAGTGAAATTTTTTCAATGGTCCCCCCTTCTTCAAATTTCGGCCAAAATTCGACATTTTCGAAACTTAACTAAATGCATTTTCTTGTAGATTTCGAACTCTAGAACTCACTTCTGGACTTGTTTCTCTGATAACTGCAACCGTTTTTCCAGGATCGACCGTCGAAAAATCAGAATTTTAGAAATTTTTAAAAATTCGTATTTCATACCGATTTTTTCGAAAATGTTGCTCCGTGACCATTAACAGGCTATGTTTTTGGAATCAGCTTGTCGAGATCTACGTCCTTGAATTTTTTCAGAATTTTTTGACGACTTTTTTGGAAGTGAAATTTTTTCAATGGTCCCCCCTTCTTCAAATTTCGGCCAAAATTCGACATTTTCGAAACTTAACTAAATGCATTTTCTTGTAGATTTCGAACTCTAGAACTCACTTCCGGACTTGTTTCTCTGATAACTGCAACCGTTTTTCCAGAATCGACAGTCGAAAAATCTAAATTTTAGAAATTTTCAAATATTCGCATTTCATGCTTATTTTTTTGAAAATGTTGCTCCGTGACCATTAACAGGCTATATTTTTGGAATCAGCTTGTCGAGATCTACGTTCCTGAATTTTTTGAGAATTTTTGGACGACTTTTTTAAAAGTGAAATTTTTCCAATGGTCCCCCCTTCTTCAAATTTCGGCCAAAATTTGACATTTTCGAAACTTAACTAAATGCATGTTCCTGTATATTTCGAACTCTAGAACTCACTTCCGGCCTCGTTTCCCTCATAACTGCAACCGTTTTTCCAGAATCGACCGTCGAAAAATCTAAATTTTAGAAATTTTCAAATATTCGCATTTCATGCTTATTTTTTTGAAAATGTTGCTCCGTGACCATTAACAGGCTATATTTTTGGAATCAGCTTGTCGAGATCTACGTTCCTGAATTTTTTCAGAATTTTTAGACGACTTTTTTAAAACTGAAATTTTTCCAATGGTCCTTCTTCAAATTTCGGCCAAAATTTGACATTTTCGAAACTTAACTAAATGCATTTTCTTGCTGATTTCGAACTCCAGAACTCACTTCCGGCCTCGTTTCCCTGATAACTGCAACCGTTTTTCCAGAATCGACCGTCGAAAAATCTAAATTTTAGAAATTTTCAAATATTCGCATTTCATGCTTATTTTTTCGAAAATTTTGCTCCGTGACCATTAACAGGCTATATTTTTCTAATCAGCTTGTCGAGATCTACGTTCCTGAATTTTTTCGGAATTTTTAGACGACTTTTTTAAAAGTGAAATTTTTCCAATGGTCCCCCCTTCTTCAAATTTCGGCCAAAATTTGACATTTTCGAAACTTAACTAAATGCATTTTCCTGTATATTTCGAACTCTAGAACTCACTTCCGGCCTCGTTTCCCTGATAATTGCAACCGTTTTTCCAGAATCGACCGTCGAAAAATCTAAATTTTAGAAATTTTCAAATATTCGCATTTCATGCTTATTTTTTTGAAAATGTTGCTCCGTGACCATTAACAGGCTATATTTTTGGAATCAGCTTGTCGAGATCTACGTTCCTGAATTTTTTCAGAATTTTTAGACGACTTTTTTAAAACTGAAATTTTTCCAATGGTCCTTCTTCAAATTTCGGCCAAAATTTGACATTTTCGAAACTTAACTAAATGCATTTTCTTGTTGATTTCGAACTCCAGAACTCACTTCCGGCCTCGTTTCCCTGATAACTGCAACCGTTTTTCCAGAATCGACCGTCGAAAAATCTAAATTTTAGAAATTTTCAAATATTCGCATTTCATGCTTATTTTTTCGAAAATTTTGCTCCGTGACCATTAACAGGCTATATTTTTCTAATCAGCTTGTCGAGATCTACGTTCCTGAATTTTTTCGGAATTTTTAGACGACTTTTTTAAAAGTGAAATTTTTCCAATGGTCCCCCCTTCTTCAAATTTCGGCCAAAATTTGACATTTTCGAAACTTAACTAAATGCATTTTCTTGTAGATTTCGAACTCTAGGACTCACTTCCGGCATCGTTTCCCTGATAACTGCAACCGTTTTTCCAGAATCGAATGTCGAAAAATCGAAATTTTAGAAATTTTCAAAAATTCGCATTTCATGCTTATTTTTTTGAAAATGTTGCTCCGTGACCATTAATAGGCTATATTTTTGGAATCAGCTTGTCGAGATCTACGTTCCTGAATTTTTTCGGAATTTTTAGACGACTTTTTTAAAACTGAAATTTTTCCAATGGTCCCCCCTTCTTCAAATTTCGGCCAAAATTTGACAATTTCGAAACTTAACTAAATGCATTTTCTTGTATATTTCGAACTCTAGAACTCACTTCCGGCTTCGTTTCCCTGATAACTGAAACCGTTTTTCCAGAATCGAATGTCGAAAAATCGAAATTTTAGAAATTTTCAAATATTCGCATTTCATGCTTATTTTTTTGAAAATGTTGCTCCGTGACCATTAACAGGCTATATTTTTGGAATCAACTTGTCGAGATCTACGTTCTTGAATTTTTTCAGAATTTTTAGACGACTTTTTTGGAAGTGAAATTTTTTCAATGGTCCCCCCTTCTTCAAATTTCGGCCAAAATCTGACATTTTCGAAACTTAACTAAATGCATTTTCTTGTAGATTTCGAACTCTAGAACTCACTTCCGGCCTCGTTTCTCTGATAACTGCAACCGTTTTTCCCGGATCGACCGTCGAAAAATCGAAATTTTAGAAATTTTTAAAAATTCGCATTTGATGCCGATTTTTTCGAAAATGTTGCTCCGTGACCATTAACAGGCTATATTTTTGGAATCAGCTTGTCGAGATCTACGTTCCTGAATTTTTTCAGAATTTGTGGACGAGTTTTTTAAAAGTGAAATTTTTCCAATGGTCCCCCCTTCTTCAAATTTCGGCCAAAATTTGACATTTTCGAAACTTAACTAAATGCATTTTCTTGTAGATTTCGAACTCTAGAACTCACTTCCGGCCACGTTTCCCTGATAACTGCAACCGTTTTTCCAGAATCGACCGTCGAAAAATCTAAATTTTAGAAATTTTCAAATATTCGCATTTCATGCTTATTTTTTTGAAAATGTTGCTCCGTGACCATTAACAGGCTATATTTTTGGAATCAGCTTGTCGAGATCTACGTTCCTGAATTTTTTCGGAATTTTTAGACGATTTTTTTAAAAGTGAAATTTTTCCAATGGTCCCCCCTTCTTCAAATTTCGGCCAAAATTTGACATTTTCGAAACTTAACTAAATGCATTTTCTTGTATATTTCGAACTCTAGAACTCACTTCCGGCCTCGTTTCCCTGATAACTGCAACCGTTTTTCCAGAATCGAATGTCGAAAAATCGAAATTTCAGAAATTTTTAAAAATTTTTTTCATGTAAGTGACTTTAAAATAAAAGTGGTCGTTGGCATAGCAACTGATCACGTGACACCCAGCCGCGCCACGATTGGCCCACTATTCCTTGCAAAAAGCGAGGTTATGTAGAGTCCCGTGTTTACAAAGTTGCAACTTTTTCCCCAAATTTCGAATTAAATCGCCAAAATGACGTTATTTAGGAGTCGACCGCTCTTAAAGTTAGTGTTACAGTACCAACCCGCGGCACTTTTACCAGCCGCCACAAAAATTCACACCTCTGCGTTACTCCAAGCATGGAAACCGGAAGACCACGAACCTCAAAAATTTCTGGAATATAATAAGAAAATATACCCTCCACAGTCACCCGACGAGGCCCCACGACCCGCTGTAAGTCACCCTTACGTGATTAAACCCCACCCAACTCTCGTATTTGTAGTTTGTTTGCCACCAACGAAGCAACATCAAATACAGCCCCTGGAAAATGTGGTACATCGCATGTCTCGTGCGCGGCATGACCGTCGACGAAGCCATCAAACAATTAAAATTCGTGTTGATGAAAGGGGCGAAGGACGTCAGGGAAACGATCGAAGAAGCGCGAGATTTGGCAGTGAAGGAGCACAACGTCGAGTTTGCGAGTAACTTGTGGGTGGGTAAGTTGACTCCACTAAACCACAAGCACGTATTTAAATGCAAATTCTAGCGGAGTCTTTCGTGGGGAAAGGTCACGTGGTGAAAGGAATCCGGCGACATGGAAGAGCCCGTTTTGGTAGAGTTGAATATTTTCATTGTCACTATTTCGTGCGTCTGGAAGAAGGCAAACCCCCGAAACACTACTACCAACACCACCCCAAAGAACCACACCAACAACTCGAGGATTGGTTGCAACAAATGAGGAAACGTAAAATCACCAATTCTATTTAATTACTTAATGATTATGTAGAGCTAAATAAATAAGTTAACAATTCTGGTTTAGTCATTTCTCGTTTATACTTCTGCACCATCTCCTGTATTTTTAAACGGCGTCGGATATGAGGGGGTTGGTAACTATCAGAATCCAGACGCCTCCGTCGCGCCATATTCAAAGCCGTATGTCTAACCAGCGGTCCCAAAGCCCGCCTACTCAACACCATCCCGTCCACCAAAGGCGACGCCAAACCCACACGTCCCGAGGGACCTTGCAAGTGCACCCGCAGCAACCCCGACGCCATCAAATGCAAATAAATCACTAAAACCTCGCTACTTTTAATAATGGCGCCACGCTCTAACCCTGTCGTCATCGAATTCAGCAAATCATCTGAAAACAAAGCGTGATTGGTGGTTACGATGTACAATCGGACGCAAATGTTTTGAGCCGATGGGCGGATCGTTTTTGCCTGCCCTCACCGAAGAAGGCGGTCCAAATCCTTCAAGGGCAGAATTTGTAGGTAGGCTCAAACTACAACGAAATTCACATTTTACCTTATAAAATTTTATTGACAATAACGGGACGGAGAGTAGTTATATATACATTTGGTAAGAAATATTTATGGCTCACACCAGTTCTCTCGAATTTGTCGGAGAAGATTTAGCTGGTAGTTGTTCCCATAAAATAATGGTCACTTTCGTTCGTGAGTAACGATGATCCGGAAATGAATTATTTTGCTTTCTAACATCTTTCGACCAATTGTTCCATATAAAAAATTTCATCACTTTTTCAAATAAAATACTCTTAAAAAAAACGATATTGTCGTTAAGTGACATGTAACTGGCATAATAATAAAAACGTGCCATTTTTCATAAATGTCGCAAAATTATTAAATTTGTCTAATCATCCCCACCAAAAATGACGTCACTTCAAATTTATGCATAGTAAATGGGTTTTAAATTGTATACAGTAACATAGTCCTACACATGTAGTTTATGACTCCGTGTTGAGTTTTTATCCGAAACGTCCAGATTTTTGGAAAAAAAATCAAAATTATAAAACAATATTTTGCAATTTAATTTTGAATTTGCAAAATCGAATACTTTGAAATCTTGCAGATGTTTTAAAATCATGATAAACATGATACATTTTTAATTAAAATATATTTGCTTATCCCCTCTAAAAAATTTATGACGTCACCTCAAAATTTTGCAGAATAAATCCTGTCTTAAATGTATAAAATATGATGAGTTTTATACTTGTGATTTATCACTGCATTAATATTTTTTAGATTTGGTTATACAAGGTGTCTCAAAAAAGTTAATGACTGAGTCAATTTATTTTATTGAAGAAATCAAGAATAGCAAAACTGAATACTTTGAAATATTGTAGATGTTTTGAAGTTTTTGTAAGCAACAATATTTGATTAATCAAATATGCGCAAAATCAAAAATCGGTAAAACTGGAATTCACTAATGCAAAAAACAGAAAATCGAAAAATACAAATCGTAAAAATCGAAAATCTAAAAATGGCTAATCAAAAAATCGAAAATTCAATGAATCAAATACCTAGGTCGATCGAAAAGTGGAAATTCACAAACCTCAAAAATCGAAAAATCGAAAATTGAAAAACGGGAAAACCAAAAAATCGAAAAGTCAAAAATTTGTAATATTGAAAATTAAAAAAATCAAAAACAAAAATAAAAAAAATCGGAAATTAAAATAATCAAAATATATAAAGTAAAAAAAATTGCAAAGCCTAAAAACTGAAACGAATAGAAAAATCGAAAAATCAAAAAATTGGAAAAACAAAAATTCGAAAAATCTAAAATCGAAAAAGTGGAAAATGGAAAATCTGAATAAAGAAACTTGAAGATTCTGAAAATTGGAAAATCGAAAACCAAAAAATCGGAAAGTAACAAAATTGAAGTCTAACAGTTGAGAATGGAAAAATTGAAAAACCGAAAATTCTAAAAATCGACAATGGACAAATTGAAAATCGCAAAATTTAAATTGAAAAATTGAACATTGAAAAATCGAAAAATCATAAAACTGAAAAATCCAAAATTCTAATCATCGAAAGTCTGAAAACTGAAAATCGAAAATTCTGAAAAGCGGAAAATAGAATATCGAAAAATTTAAAAGAAAGAAAATTGAAGTCTAAAAACCGAAGAATGGAAAAATTAAAAATCAAAAATTCGAAAAATCAAAACCGAAAAATTCAAAGATTCAAAAAGAAAATCGAAAAATCAAAAATCTGAAAATTGAAACTCGAAAATTTGGAAAATCGAAAAGTAAAAAAATTGAAGTCTAAAAGCTGAAAAATGGAAAACTGAACAATCGAAAATTCGAAAATCAAATATCGAAAAATCGAAAAGCCGAAAAATCGAAAATTTGATAAATCAGATATGCGAAAAACAGAAAATCTGAAAATGCAAAACTGGAAAATCAAAAATCTAAAAATGGAAAAACCGAAAATCGAAAATTCAATGAATCTAATACGTAGGTCGATCGAAAAACTGGAAATTCACAATTCTGAAAAATCGAAAATTTGCAAGATTGAAAAACCGAGAATTGAAAAATCAAAAAACCGAAAAATGGAAAAATCAAAAATCGAAAAATAGGAAAACCGAAAATTCGAAATATTGAAAACTCTAAAAGTCGACAATTCAAAAATCAAAAAACTGGAAAGTAAAATAATCGAAAAATCGAAAAGTAAACAAATTGCAAAGCCTAAAAACTGACGAACAAAAAAATCGAAAAATCGTAAAATCAAAAAGTGGAAAATCGGAAATCGAAAAATGAAAAAAAAAAACGAAAATTCAAAAATCGAATAATCCGAAACTAAAATAATAGAAAAGTGGAAAAGTAAAAATTGCAAAGTCTCAAAACTGACGAACAGAACAATCGAAAAATAAAAAAAAATCGAAAAATATCTAAACATGGAAAATCGAAAAATCGAAAATCGGAAAATGGAAAAACCGAAAAATCGAAAATTCGATGAAACAAATACTCGAAAAAGCGAAAAGTAAAAAAATTCCAAGGGCTAAAAATTGAAAAATCAAAAAATCGAAAAAATGAAAATCGAAAAAACGACGATCGAAAAAAAATCAAAAAATCGAAAAGTGGAAAATCGGAAAGTAACAAAATTGAAATCTAAAAGCTGCAAATTGCAGAACCATAAAAACTGAAACAAACAGAAAAATCGCAAATCGAAAAATCGTAAAATCAGAAAATGGAAAATCGAATAATCAAAAGTTGAAAAATCGAAGGTCGAAAAATAAAACAACCGAAAAATCGAAAAATTTTATGATTAATGGAAAATCGAAAAATCAAGAATAGAAGAATTAAAAAACCGGAAAATTGAAAAATTGGAAATCGAAGAATTAAAAACGTAAAATCGAGAATTCAAAAATCAAAAAAATCGGAAAGTAAAATATAATCGAAAAATGCAAAAAAATTGCAAAGTCTAAAAACTGACGAACAGAAAAATCAAAAAATCTAAAAATGGAAAAACGAAAAATCGAAAATTGAAAGAATGGCAAATTAAAAAATCGAAACATCGAAAAATCAAAAAAACGAAAAATTAAAAAATCGAAAAACGAAAAAACTGAAAACTCGAAAAATCAAAATACCGCAAATTTGAAAAATCAGAAAATTAGAAAGTAATAAAATCGAAAAGTTGATAGAAAAATGGAAACTGAAAAATCTAATTCGATGAAACTGTTGGTCGAAAAAACGAAAAATCGAAAATCGAAGTGACCTTTTTTTGAGACAGGCTGTATAAGTAAATCTGAAAAATAGCACTGCAATGATAAATCACAGGTATAGACTCATCATATCAAATTTTACGATGACGTCATGCATTTTTTGACGAAGATAAGCAAATACATTTTGATCGTGGCTTTGAAAATATTCTTCGACTTTCGTTCCATTTCAAAATTTACTCTTTGTATATTTCAGTGGTCACAACGAGTTCACTAACTACGCTGAAGTATGCAAAGATTAAATTTGTCACCGAAAAGATGTCGGAAGTAATAAATTATCCTATCGGTCGAAGAACGTTCAGTCCGGTGTTACACCTCGACCCAAGAGAGACCGCAGTAAAGGATAACAAATGGAACGTATAAAATAAAGCGTCAAATATGATTGATAAACTTTAAACCAAAATTATGAAGTTTATAAACTGAACATTTTTTTTGCTTTTTGAAATGTAGTACACTTCAAAAAATGTCCGTGACTTACTTTAATGTGAATTTTATAACTATGGTCGGCACAATTACACCTAATATTAGTGTGATTTTGAGCATATTCTCGATGTTATTAGAGCAGGACAGGTTTTTTTTTCTAACTAATTGACAAGATTTCAAAGTATTCAGTTTTGCAATTCTTGATTTCTTCAATAAAATAAATTGACTCAGTCATTATTTTTTTTTGAGTGACCCTGTATGTATAAACAAATCCAAAAAATATTAATGGAATGGTAAATCACAAGTATAGACTCATCATATTCTGAACATTTTAGATAGGGTATTTATAAAATTAAAACTAATTCAGGGTAAGAATTTGGTCAACACGTAAATTTCGTTGTAGTTTGAGCCTACCTACAAATTCTGCCCTTGGACGATTTGGACCGCCTCCTTCGGTGACGACCGGCAAAAATGATCGCCCATAGGCTCAAAACATTTGCGTGCGATTGGCGTGTCACGCACCGATTGGCAGATTTAAATGATCCTCGAAACTCTCCAGCCACACTACCATGATTTTCGTGTTCGTGAAAGGGTGGAGGTTGGAACGTGGACCCGAGCGCCGAGGTGGCACCGGTTGTTTATCTAGTTCCAAACTTAGGGCTCTTTTGTCTTTACTAGTGGTACTGGTTTCTGATAGGCTGCGCTCGTACCAAACTGAAACAAGCGACTCAGAACGTGTCGAAATTTAATTGGTTAGTACTTGATGCGTTGAAGGATGATTGCTCGGAGGGGGGGTCCGCCGGTTTGATGGTGGATGGTACCACGAAGGCGATTTCTGCGCATGCGTCGGCCCAGTACAACACGTGCGTGGAGCCGTCGTATGACGTACTACGTGACGCAACGGGGGATTCTTGTGGAGACACCTTCCAACTGGTGGAAACGTGACCGGTCCAACCTTCAAACACCCAGTTATTGTAATTGTCATACCAACCTACTTTTATTCTTATCATTTATATTTATACCTGGATGTTTGTTGACTTCGACTGGCCACCCTAAGGTGTGAATAAACTCGAAAAAGTAGGACGAAATCCCTTGTTCGGTTCGCACGTTGTTGACTATATCCTGTGCGTCAACTTGTTGCGACTTGACGTAAAAAATGTGTACGGTGTCGCAAGTCCTCGGACTCAAGTGGTCCAAAAGTGACAGATCTTTACAAAAGTCGCCAGCGCTGCTATCGAGAGCTGTCAACGTAGGAGCTTCGTCGTTCTCGTCCCCCAAAGAAAGTAGCCCGAAATGGGACAAAAATAACCTAGAAGTTTGAAAATCGTGCACTACAGGGGGCGGAGTGCACTCCTGAGCGACAAAATTTGACTGAGTCGCCGCTAAATTGGTTTCTACGGTCGCCTGGCGCTCAATCAACTGAACCAACTTATTCGTATCTTCGTTAATTTCTTCGTTTTGTGCTATAACAGTATCCAGAAGCGGAATCGACTGGTCACTAAAGCAAACTCAAGTCACACTAATCCAACAATTTTTGCTTTCCTTACACTTTGCATTGCGTTACCCTATCGACGCTATCAGGAAAGTACTTTTGTTTGACTTGAGGACACAAAGGCGTCTCTTGCATCACGACCGGCCTACCGGGATTCGGCGCGTGGCACTTAGTCCCCGACCGATGCCTCGGTAAGTGTCGTAGTTGCATAGTCCAAGCGTGTCGACCAAACGGACCCCGTATTAAAATAGTGACAGTGGGTTGCGGGTCCTGGTCATTCCCCAACGGTTCCTCCAGGAGCGCCAACACAACCGAGCCCTCCGTCACAAAGTACCTAAATTTTTCGACCGCAGTCGCCTGATCCGTGCAATTAGTAGGCCAGGAGTTGCAATGTTGCAATAGGGCTACTTCGTCAAGGAGTGACGAAATGGACTCAGGGCCGCACTCGTTCGGGAAATAGCCGACTTGTTCGAGGATGCACGTGAGGAGATTCTCGGCGGCGTCTCGCACACGCATCGACGCCGGCTTCAGTTCTTTTTGTTCTTTCATTTTGACGTTTTCGCCAGGTTTGCCAACGGATTTGGTGCCCGAGACACCTAATTCTGCTACTTCTAGTACGGTGGTGAGACAGTCTTTGTCTCTGAGTAAGTAGGGGTGCTCGAGGAGCCAGACTGAGCAGCATTGGAAGGCGGCGACGATGGTGGAGTGGAGGTCTTTGGAGTGGGCTGGGGGCGGGCGCGAGCATTGGTAGACGATGTAGTCGCACAGCCACTTCACAGCCCTCTTGCATTCCATCGCGTCTAAAATTTAGCTGACTCAACAACTCGGCTTTATGGAAAATGGCGGATTAACAATGGTGTTTTTTTTTTAATTTGGGAGACTCTTGGATACCCATGGTGTATTATTTTGGAAAATTCTGACATGCCCTGTTTTTCACTTAACTTTGACACCTCGTTTTTTTTTTTTTTTTTTAATTTAAAACAATCTTGACGTTCTAGATATTCCTGTTTGGAAAGAATTTGGAAGTACTTTGGAGCCTGTGGTGTCTTTTCTTATAATAATTTAATTAAATTTCTTAGAGGATACGTCATTTGCTAAAATCAGTCTTATCTTAGCAGGTACTAGCCCCGCCCACCCGCCCTCTATTTTCTCAGAGAATGTGATTTGCCAAAATCAGTCTTAACAGGTACTAGCCCCGCCCATTCACCTTTTATTTTCTTAGAGGATAAGTGATTTACCAAAATCAGTCTTATCTTATCAATTACTAGCCCCGCCCACCCGCCCTCTATTTTATTAGAATGTATGTCATTTGCTACAATCAGTCTTACCTTAGCAAGTATTGGCCGCGCCCAACCACCCTTTATTTTCTTAGTAGGTATCAGTAGCGGCTCGTGGTCTTTTCGTTAGGTGAGGCAACAATTTCGTTTCAAAATCAGCAGGTATTAATTAACACGTTGGCAATTACTTTTGTTAAAAGAAAGATTGTTTATTCGTTTTTATGAAAACAATACAAATAGCCCTGAGTCAGTAACATATCTCTATATGGGTACACTTCTCGAATAAAAAACATTTAATTGCTTCACACAAACCAACGAGAAGGTTTAAAGACTGCAGAATTTGCTTTATTAGCATTAAATATTAATTCATATGATTTAGGGCTAATTTAAATATATTAATCAATTAATTAATAAAGTTCTGCTCAAATCTGGATGAGAGGTTCTAAATCTTTGACATACAATTGTTCGTCGTAAGAAAACCATGCTTAAATATTTAAACTTTATAAGACATTCTGGAAATTATAGATTATTATGTTGCTATCAGCATTGCAAAACTGGCATTTTCATTGTCCTACTGTTTTCAAGTTCACTTAAAAGTTTTAATACACAACCTTGGCAATGCACATGCAGTGAGAACGCAATTCTTTCCTCGCGTCTAAATAATGCACAACTAAATGCACACTAAATGCATTCAGCTTCCCTGTTCAGCATTGTGCAGTTTCACCGTGAGATTAAAAAATTCGATCTGATTGGCTTAAGGACGGTAGGCGTTGGTGCCTCCGCTGGCGCTTTGATAAAGCACTGATGACTATTGTCTTACTCAAAAACATATTAGCACCATTGACTAATCATACTGAAGATATCCGTCTATCTGAGGCATGCCTCCGTCTGAAGCTGGCCTACACGGCGAGGATCAGCGTTTATTCCTGTCGAAAGCGCGTACTTCAAAATATGTTACCAAGACGCGTTTTAATAAATCACAGTGTTCCATAAAAGTTATTTGCTGTATCTTTAAAATATATTTAAAGTTAACAGATATTAAAACAAAAACTAATAGTCAATTTTTCCAGGGGAGGCACTGCCTCCCCTGCCTCCCCTGACGAGCCGCCACTGGTAGGTATGTCATTTACCAAATTCCGTCTTATCTTAGCAGGTACTAGCCCCGCCCACACACGCTGCTCTCATTCTAACGATTTTATCTCTGTTCAATTGAGATCCACCTTTCATTCGGACTAGATAAAATGAATCACCGGAATAGAGGCTGGGTGGGTGGGCGGGGTTAATTGTATATTCTTTGGTAGAGTGCGAATGGGAACTAATAGAACGTAGGTTGTCAAAAAAAGCGCTAATCGTAATTTGTTTGATATACATATTATTTGCTGTAAGATTTATTTCTTATTTCAGAAGAAAAAAAATAGAGAACGGGTGGGTGAGCGGGGGCAAGTTTAACTTTTTCTACAGTCTTTTATAAGCAAACAATAGCCCCGCCCACCCTCCCTCTTTTTTCTCAGAGGGTACCTCATTAGCCAAATCAGTCTTATCTTATCAAGTACTCGTCTTAATAAGTCTTACCTTAGAAAGTATTAGCCCCGCCCACCCACCCTCTCTACTCTTCGGAGGTAGGTCATTTATTAAACTCAGTCTTATCTCAGCAGCTATAATTCAAAAATCGAAAAATTGAATTAAAAATTGAAAACTTGTGAAATTCTTTCTTCAGAGCTAATAAAAAAAATGATGAAAACAGAATAAGGGTGGGTGGGCCCCTTTTTACTTTGTTTTAAATCTTAGATTCTACCGCGTGTTCAAGTAGATTTCAATTCACATTTTACAGTAAATAAAATAAGTCAGTGAAATGGAAACAAGAAGTGGGCGGAGCTGAATTTAGGTTTTTCCAAAGAGTTTCATAAGCAAGCATTAGCCCCGCCTACCGACCCTCCTCTTCATTCCAGAAATTACTCTTAATATTTTTTTAGTTTTATCTTAGCAGGTACTAGCCTAGCCCACCCACCCTCTCTTTTCTTAGAAGGTATGTGATTTGCCAAAATTAGTTTTATCTTAGCAGGGATTAACCCCGCCCACCCACCCTCTCTTTTCTTAAAGGGTATATGATTTGCCAAAATCAGTCTTATCTTAGCAAGTACTAAATATAAACTGAAAAATTGCAAATCGAAAAATTGAAAAATCCAAAAAGTGAGAAATTAAAAATTGCAAACTCGAGAAATTGCAAAGAGAAAAATTGCAAAATATGAAAACTGAAACATCCAAAAATTGGAAAACAGAAAAACTGAAAAATTTAAAAGTGCAAACTTGAAGAGTTGCATATCTTAAAAATGAAAAAACGAAAAAAAAAATTGAGAAATTGAAACGGAAAAATGAAAAAATTAACAATGAAAAAACAAAAAAATTACATCGAAACACTGAAAAATCGAATAAGTGAAAAGATAACGAAAATAAAAAACCGAAAAATTGCAGAATATAAAAATTGAAAAAATCAAAAGTTGGAAAATTGAAAATTTTAAACTTCAAAACTCGAAAAATTGCAAATCGAAAAACTGAAGAAAAAAAAGAAAAATTGAAAAATTCAAGCAAAAAATCAAGGCGAGGGAAGTGCTGTCGAAATAATCTTCGACCAGTTTTATTCTTTTTTTTTTATATTCAAGGTGTAAAATCCGAATTTTTTGAATTTTTTAAAAATTGGGATATTTCAAATGGACATTCTGGAAAACCGGTTGGAGTTAAAAATAAAATTCGCAAAATGAAATCTTATAATTTTTTGAAAAATCTGGATTTATTTACCTTTGATCAATTTTTTGATATTAGAATTTTTCGTTTTTCCTTTTTCTTCGATCTTAAATTTTCAGTCTCACCTTAGAGAATATTAGCCCCGCCCACCCACCCTATCTTTTCTTCGGAGGTATGTCATCTACCAAACTGAGTCTTATCTTAGCATTCACGCTGCTCTCATTCTAACGATTTCATCTCTGTTCAATTGAGATCCACCTTTCATTCGGATTATTTAGATAAAATGAATCACTGAAATAGCGGCAGTGTGGGTGGGCGGAGTTAATTGCGTGTTCTTAGGTAGAGCGCGAATGGGAACTAATAGAACGTAGGCTGTCAAAAAAAAGCGCTAATCGTATTTTTTTGACATACTATTTGCTATAAGATTTATTTCTTATTTCAGAAGAAAAAAATGAGAGAACGGGTGGGTGGGCGGGGATAAGTTTTACTTTTTTCTACAGAGTCTTTTATAAGCAATCAATAGCCCCGCCTACCAACCCCCTCTTCATTCCAGTGATTACTCTAAATATTGTTGAATTCTATTTTGGCAAGTTTGGCCCCGCCCACTGACTCTTTATTTTCTTAGAGGAAACGTTATTTACCAAAATTTGCCTTATCTTAGCAGTTTAGCCCCGCCCACCCACTCACCCTCTCTTTTCTTAGAGGATATGTCATTTGCCAAAATTTTGAAGTGACGTCATCACATTATTGGTAGCGACTTATTTCTTCGTTTTTTCGTAATCTACATCATAAAGAATTTTTTTAGTTTTTTTTTTTGGGATTCCCGAAATATATATAATTCAGTACATAACTTATGAAGACTGAATCCGCCATTTTCCAGACACCCGGTATAACTAAATACACAATATAAACAATCTTTTTACCTGTTAACTTTCTGGCTGCACAAAAATTGAATCTTTTTACTAAAAACTCCCCCATTTTGACTAATACTAACCTGACTCCTTGATGTGGATCCTCGCCAACCCCGACAGCAACTCCAGCGCCGCCAGCGACACATTCAAATCCGTCTTCCACGAGCTGATCAACCTGTGACACACCAAATACGTCGCCCTGACGAACAGCGCATGCGCTGAATCTAAAACCGAACAAACAATTCCACGCCCGTTTTTACCCCCACCACATCATTGCGATGCACATACCTATCGGCAATAAATCATACGAATCAACAGGACCAAAATGTTCGGGTGAAGTGGAACGCTCATAGCTGCTAGCCATGCTCATGGTACTGGCAGTGTCGGACGCTACATAAGCCATCACAAACCACAAGCAATACGAAAAACAAAAAAAAAGACGATCAAATGGCGAAACAAGTGACGATAGGACGAATGAACGGTGCTGAAAGCCCTGGTAAGTAAGTGAGAGTACCTGAACTGAGGAGGTTCGATGACGTGTCGGTGGGGGGTTGGGTGACTTGTTCGACCTTCTCGTAGATGGAGGAGTCCTGCACGCAGAGGAAGAGACTACCGAGGAGCATGTGGGTGTTCTGGGGGTCGCTCTCGATCTGGAGGGCGTTCATCACGAGGTTCATGAGGCGGGGTTTGAGCTGGCCGAAGGTGCACGGGCGGTCGGACGAACCTTAGGTTATCATTTACACCCTCGGGTAGCAGAGGTAAGTGATTTTTAGCAGTTACCTGTGTTTATCAGATCTTTAATTACGACGTTCTGGAAGTGCAGCGGGAGTACCAACATCGACGACAAGAGATGTATGGAGGCTCGTCTGAGTTCAGTCTTAGAGACATTCGAGTTTAGTTTTAAATCCTTGTCAGGTAAGACTATTTCCAAAGCTGAAATAAAAACGGGCACTAGGACCCTCACGCCGTCCAAATCCAGTCTGAACAAGTCCGACGAGTTCATCAAAATGGCAACCATGGTTTCCCCGCACTCTCTATTAGGCGCGATTTTCAAACCCTGCTGGACCGCCAGGTAAAACCTAGCGAGATAAACCGGAAGAATTTCCTCGCCAGTTTTCTTCGCACACATGATCCTACACAAAGTACCTAAAGCTTCAGCTTTGCCGCTTTCGTACTTATCAATAGTCAAACTCGAGGGTAGGCTCGGAATGTCACTGATGGAACTCGGCTGGGAGTAACTTTCCATCAAAACCGAACTGTTTCTTTTGTTTTGGTCATGCGGCTGCCCTACAAGTATTTCGTACTATGACGTCACTACATATCCCTACTTACTGTGTTGTAAGTCGCACCCGAGGAACGCCGCTTCGAACAACCACTCCCCAAACAAGTGTAAAATGCTGTTACATTTGGGTCTACCGGGAGCCAACGGGGTCCGACTTTCAGGGCCAAACGACGTGAGAGCTACAAAATCGTCAGTGCTGCTACCTATACCGACTTAAGTCACTTACATGAAATACTCGAGGTGGACGACGGGCCCGAACTAGGCGCCGACGCAGTAGCCACTACCGAGCTCCTACTAGTCGTTAAACCAATCAGAGACGACTTCGGTATCCCTACAATGACCCACCACGTCACAACCGTACACATTTCAAACCGTAAAATGTTAAAAACACAGACTAATTCTAACCCTTAGAGACAGAGGATGGTGCCACACTAAAACTTTTTGCCAATCTGCGCTGAGTAGGAGGAGTGGGAGAAGGTGAGTAAGTAGCAGAAGTTTGGTTGGGTGCAGCTTCTTTGCTCTTATCAGTAGTGCAGCCACCTGTTATCACAGTTTCCCACCAAATAGCTTGTGCTACACCTGAACCAATATAAAACAGTGGTTTTATTTGTTATTAGAGCGAGGCGAGACGACACAGAGTCTAGGAATCGTACGAACCGAGGAAAGCGTCGACTTGGCCGGCTATACCCTTGATGGCCTTGAGGAAGATGAGAGGCAGCGCTTGCAGACAAGGGTGCTGGCAAGGGTCGTTCACGTTGTCGGTACTTATAGCGAACTGGAGGAATTTCTGGGTCTGGCTGATCACCTCCGGCTTGGTTAAGCTAATAGGGTTACCAATGGTGTTCAAGAACCGGTACCAACTTTGCGCTATACAGTCGTTGGACATACCGTGAGTGATCAAATCGTCGTCGCCTGAAAAATGTTTGCCATTTATAAACTCCGTTGCCAAGTTGCCATCGATAGGTTTCTTGTCGTCGAAATAAGTCTACACACATTAAGAAAAAAAGGCAAAATGTCAGCCCGCCCACCCGCCCTATCTCAATTGTGATGATTTTTTTTATTCGGCGTGAGCCAAGAGGGCGGAGCTTAACTGCAAAATCCGTATTTCTCTACGAGAAATTAAAAACACGTTTTTGAATATCGTGTTCGTCGAAGAATACTAAGTATATTAAGAAACAAAGTCGAAATATAAACCCCGCCCACCCACCCCATACCCACCCCATCTCAATTGTGATGAATTTTTCATTCGTTGCCAGATCGAGGGGCGGGGCTTAATTGCAACATCTATATTTGCCTACAAGAGCATGTTTTAAGTTCTCAAAAGGCGACTATGTATATTAAGAAAAAAGGAAAAACATAAACCCCGCCCACCCCCCTTTCTCAATTGTGATGATTTTTTTTTTATAGCCGAGAGTCACAGGAGCGGAATTTAATTGTAAAATCCGTATTTCCTAACAAAAATTTATCATTTTAAACGTGTTTTAAGTTACTATGAATAAAAAAATCGTCACAATTGAGATAGGGTGGGTGGGCGGGGTTTATATTTCGGCTTTTTTTCTTAACGTACACAGTATTCTTTGAACACAATACTCAAAAACATGTTTTTAATTGCTTATGAAGAAATAAGTATTTTGCAGTTAAGCTCCGCCCTCTTGGCTCACGACGAATAAAAAAAATCATCACAATTAAGATAGGGCGGGTGGGCGGGCATATATTTTGCATTTTTGTTTTAATATGTCTAGACTTTTTTCACATGCAACTTAAAACATGTTTAGAATGGAAAATTTGTATAAGGAAAAGTCGATTTTGCAATTAGGTCCTCCCCATAATTGCAAAATCTATATTTTCTTGCAAAAATGTACCATTTAACCATGTGTTAAGTTTCTTCTTGTCGAAATAAGTCTACAAAAATTGAGAAACAAAGGCAAAATGGAGCCCCGCCCACCCACCCTATCTCAATTGTGATGATTTTTTCCATTCGTCGTGAGCCAAAGGGGCGGAGCTTATCTGCAAAATCCTTACTTTTCCATGAGAAATTAAAAACACGTTTTTGAATATCGTGTTGTTCAAAGAATACTAAGTATATTAAGAAACAAAGCTGAAATATAAACCCCGCCCACCCACCCCATCTCAATTGTGATGAATTTTTCATTCGTTGCCAGATCGAGGGGCGGGGCTTAATTGCAACATCCATATTTGTCTACAAGAGCATTTTTAAGTTTCTTGTTCTGAAAAGGCGACTACGTATATTAAGAAAAAAGGCAAAATATAAGCCCCGCCCACCCGCCCTATCTCAATTGTGATGATTTTTTTTATAGCCGAGAGTCAAAGGAGCGGAATTTAATTGTAAAATCCGTATTTCCTAACAAAAATTTATCATTTTAAACGTGTTTTAAGTTACTATGAATAAAAAAATCATCACAATTGACACAGGGTGGGTGGGCGGGGTTTATACTTTGCCTTTTATTCTCAATATACTTAGTATTCTTTGAACAACACGATACTCAAAAATATGTTTTTAATTTCTTATAAACAATGAAGTATTTTGCAGTTAAGCTCCGCCCTCTTGGTTCACGGCGAATAAAAAAAAATCAGAATAGAGATAGGGCGGGTGGGCGGGCTTATATTTTGCTTTGTTGTTTTAACATATGCAGACCTCATTTCACAACATGAAACTTAAAACATGTTTAAAATTGAAAATTTGTATAAGGAAATGTCGATTTTACAAATAGGTTCCGCCCCATAAAAAAAATCAATATTTCCTTGCAAAAATGTACCATTTTAACCATGTGTTAAGTTTCTTGTTGTCGAAATAAGTCTACAAATATTGTGAAAAAAAGGCAAAATGGAGCCCCGCCCACCCACCCTATCTCAATTGTGATAATTTTTTTTATTCGTCGTGAGCCAAGGGGGCGGAGTTTAACTGCAAAATCCTTATTTCTTCATGAGAAATTAAAAACATGTTTTTGAGTATCGTATGGTTCACAGAATACTGTATACTAAGAAAAAAATTAAGCCAAAGATTAGACCCCACCTATACCCGCCCCAATGTCAATTCTCAATTGTGATGAATTTTTAATTCGTTGTCAGGTCGATGGGCGGGGCTTAATTGCAAAATCTATATTTGTCTACATGAATTTACCATTTTAAACATTTTAAGTTTCTTGTTCTGAAAAGGCGACTACATATATTAAGAAAAAAGACCAAATATAAACCCCGCCCCCCCGCCCTAGATCAATTGTAATGATTTTTTTCTGATAGCCGTAAGTGAAAGGACCGAAATTTAATTGCAAAATCCGTATTTTCTAACAAAAATTTATCATTTTAAACGCGTTTTAAGTGACTGTTAATAAAAAAAATCGTCACAATTGAGCCAGGGTGGGTGGGCGGGGTTTATATTTCGGCTTTTTTTCTTAACATACATAGTATTCTTTGAACAACACGATACTCAAAAACATGTTTTTATTTTCTTGTGAAGAAATAAGTATTTTGCAGTTAAGCTCCGCCCTCTTGGCTCACGACGAATAAAAAAAATCATCACAATTGAGATAGGGCGGGTGGGCGGGCATATATTTTGCATTTTTGTTTTAATATGTGTAGACTTTTTTCACATGAAACTTAAAACATGTTTAAAATGGAAAATGTGTATAAGGAAATGTCGATTTTGTGCATTAGGGTCTGTCGCATAATTGCAACATCCATATTTCCTTGCAAAAATGTACTATTTTAACCATGTTTTAAGTTTCTTGTTGTCGAAATAAGTCTACATATATTGAGAACAAAAGGCAAAATGGAGCCCCGCCCACCCACCCTGTCCCAATTGTGATGATTTTTTTAATTATCGTGAGCAAAGGGGGTGGAGCTGAACTGCAAAATCCCTATTTCCCTATGAGAAATTAAAAACATGTTTTTGAGTATCGTATTGTTCAAAGAATACTATGTATGTATATTAAGAAAAAAATAAAGCCAAAAATTAGGCCCCACCTATACACGCCCCGATCTCAATTTTCAATTATGATGAATTTTTCATTCGTTGTCAGATCGAGAGGTGGGGCTTAATTGCAAGACGTAAATATTTACATATCTACAAGAATTTACCATTTCAAACATATATAAGCCCGCCCAACCGCCCTATCTCAATTGTGATGATTTTTTTTTTATAGCCGAGAGTCAAAGGAGCGGAATTTAATTACAAAATCCGTATTTTGTAACAAAAAGTTTATCATTTTAAATGTGTTTTAAGTTACTATGAATAAAAAAAATCGTCACAATTGACACAGGGTGGGTGGGCGGGGTTTATATTTTGCCTATTTTTCTTAGTACACATAGTATTCTTTGAACAACACGATACTCAAAAACATGTTTTTAATTTCATGTAAAGAAATAAGTGTTTTGCAGTTAAGCTCCGCCCTCTTAGCTCACGACGAATAAAAAAAATCATCACAATTGAGATAGGGCGGGTGGGCGGGCTGACATTTTGCATTTTTGTTTTAATATGTGTAGACTTTTTTCATATGAAACTTAAAACATGTTTAAAATGGAAAATTTGTAAAGGAAATGTCGATTTTGCAATTAGGCTCCGCCCCATAATTGCAAAATCCATATTTCCTTGCAAAAATGTACAATTTTAACCATGTTATAAGTTTCTTGTTGTCGAAACAAGTCTACACATATTGAGAAAAAAAACACAAAATGTCAATCGTGATGAATTTTTCATTCGTTGTAAGACCGAGGAGCGGAGCTTAATTGCAAATCCTCCACGGCAACGTCAGCGCAAGTTTATAAATCGACCTTTACCGATTTTGAGTTCCGGAAACGTGGGTCCGTACATGAAGGATAGCACTTTGGAGGTTAAGACTAGGTTGACGCGGTTCCATTGCTCGATGAGGGCGACTCGGTGGCGCCAGTTCATGCAGCACTCGCGAAGCGTCTTCCATAAAGGCGGCGACGGGAAGCACTGAGCGCACGCTATCAACCATATCTGCCACACACTTAAGTTTAGTAATGGCTTAAGTCACTCTGAACGCGGTACCTCAAAAAGCACGCTCAGCACGCGCTCGCAAAGTTGATCAGCTACGTCATCCTTGACCGTTGGTGGGGATAAAAGGGTGTCGTTGATCGCTAAGAGAAACAAAAGCAGGGCCTCCCAGGTCTCGCGCTCCAGGAGTTTGGACTCGTGAGCGATCTGCTGGAGGGTGCGCAGCACCCTGTGACACAACACCGCCTGTCTATTGATCGTGTCAATCCCTGATTAAAAAAAACAACTAAAGTATATGTTTCAATTCAACCGACGATTTTTACCCAAATCCTGATACAAAAAAGGCCAGTCTTGTAAAACAAGTTTTTTTTTTTAATTTAAAACAAAAAGTGAAATCGCCACCTACCTTCATCCTTCCGCGGAATGAACAAATAGTGAAGATGGGCTATAATTTTCCGCGCGTATACGTTGGGGTCCTCGACAATGGGCTGCGGCACGCAGATTTTCGGCGTCAGGAGCGCCGACAGCCACTCACAGTACACGTTGACGCAGTCCTTGATGGCTTCATGTTCCGACAAGGGTAAAGAAAGTCCAAAGCAGAGAACTTCCATGCACCATTGCACCTCTTTATCGGTGACCAAAGGACTAGGCTCCGCTGGTTGACTTATCCCCAGATTACTAGCGAGTTGTCGGACGACCCCCAACGTCACGTCTTTACTAGTCGTCAAGCCGAACTTTTCCAAAACGCTCTGATTCGCGTCGTCGTTGTTTTGGAGCATGAGACTCAAAGAAGTCCATTCTGAATACATCCCCTTGTTCTCGCTGCTTTCCTACAGCGACCAAATAAACAAAATTTTCGGGTGTAATAAGTACTCACTTTTAAGTTCATACGATTGAAGAGTCCTAAATTCATAAGCACGCTTTGTTTTGACTGTTTTATGAGTAATAAGATTATTTAAATGGGCACAAAACCCGAAACATTGTGACGTATTGACAAACAACTGTCATCTGTCAACAACGTCAACGTGTTAGTAGGGTAGGCAACCAATAATACACACCACACTAAATTTTCTCAATTTTTATTCCTAATTAATTACTAAGAGTTAATTTTACTTTCTCGCTTCTTCACTAACGCTTTTTTCCGCGGCGTCGATTTTTGCCGCAATTTCCTCATACTTCTGCGTCCTATACGCCTTTTTCGCTTCATCCAACAAAACGTTGTGAATCAAATTCCGATTGTTGTGCATATCGGGCACTAATGACGGATACGGATTCCCTCGTAGCTCCAAAACGGCCCTTTTTACCACCTCAGGGTACACACTAGGCGCTGTATACATCCTAGTGTATGCCGTACTATAATTGACAAATCTGGGTGCAAGCACCTTAAACAACTTATGTACTAGTTGTTTTTCAATCAACCAAAAGTCAGCCATCTCCATTGTTTCGCGGTGACAATCCCCATACCTTATCGCATCCGAAATCAACTAAAACTGTCTTTCAAAAGATTCTGTTTCAACACTAGTAAAGAATTACCCTTTCTGCGTACATCCGGGACTCATCCGCCCGCGGATAATTCAACTCAATTCGCTCGTGTTTGATCAACGCGGTGACTGTCTTTCGTAGCTTGTCTAGGCGAGCCTCGGGGCCCCCCGCCGATTTTAATTTTCGAAGACGGGGGTTCACTCTGACCCGCAGCTGCGAAACGAGCTTCGAGATTTCAGCTTGATTCATTTTGCACCAGAAATACGAAAATTAACCGTGTAAATACGACTTATTGAACGAGTTTAAGGTTATGTCACGTGACTCTAGTCTAGTACAAACTGTCAATTTTCTAAACATAACCTCGAAATAGTGCACATTTTCTAAACTCGAAAATGTTTAAAATAGTGAATGTAGCCGTACGGTCGCGGTTTACAGTATGTTTTCACCCCAAACGGACTTTCTTGTCGCAAGCGTATCACTGTAACGAAATTTGGGAAGACCGGCTGAACAGCCCCCTTTTCCAGAAGGTCAATCTGGATTTGCTCTACCACGAACTGGATCAAGGGTTTCAGAAAACACGGCGAATTAGTGCCGTGGACGTCGACATTTTCGCGAACGCGGTGAAGGATAATTTGTTTGTGGACGAATTGCTGGATCTGGTGCACAAATTGAGGTTAAGTCCGGACACCGGGAATGCGCTGAGTTCGACGAGCCATGCGGTGATTCGGGCGCTTGTTAGTCACGACAAAGACAAAGAGCTGTTGGACGTTGTGGACGATAGGCTGAATTATGGCGTTTTTCTGGATGACTACACTGGAAATCTCTTGATGGATAGGTTTTGGAAGAGCAAAGATTTTGCAGCGGGGGCAAAAATAGCGAGCCAGTTTATGCTCCAGGAGGATTTTAAACACCCGGTGACGATAAATTTCGCGCTGTTGCATTGTTATAATTACTTGGTGGCGCCAGGGGAGTGGGCGCAAGCACCCGTTCCAGAGGAACCGGAAGACGAAGTGAAAGTTCGAGTTAAATACTTGAGAAATCCCTTTGACGACGAACATTTTGACTTGAAAGATCCTGTGAAAATTGTGGGTAAAACATTGGCGGTGGCTGCGAAAAACCGGGATGATTCTGTACATAAGTCACTCAGGGTGATTGGACTAGCGTTATTTGGACGAGAAGAGTTAGCACGGAACGAGGTTGCTAAAAATAACGTGAAGTTGGTGAAGGAAGTCGTCGATTTGTTGCCACAAGATGTCGCTTTAAAGCAAGAACTTGCTCAACTTGACTTAATCTCTGAAGACGTCCACGTTGTGTTGCAGAAACAGGTCGCTGAAAGCGTGTCTCAAATATCAGAGAAAGACATCGCTAATCAGTGTGACGTTTTCAAGCAGTGGGAAGATGACAGGTTGCGCGCGCTCGAGGAACAAAAGCAGCGCCTCCTCACCGCCGAACGACTCGCAGAAGTCGAAAATCTGCAAAAATCGCTCCAAGAAAAAGAACAAAAACTCTGGTTCTTTGAAAACGAAGAAAACATAGAGCTAGCCATTGAAGAATCCTCCGCCGCGCTTCGACACAAACCCACGAAAAAGAAAAAAATCGAAGAAGACTACGTCCCGCCTGAAGTCACCGCCAAACGGAATTAATCGTTTCACATTTTGTTTAATATTTTAACAAAAAATATAAATAGTAAAAACTTTTGGTGTCTTATCGTAATAAAAGTGATGTGATAACAAAAATTGCACGTTTCAGGTTTGCTTTAGCAGCGTTTCCGTTTCCTTTTTCATTTCTTGGAGGTCTTTGTTTACGCGTTCTAATTTAACGGCACTTTCTTTGGCCGTTTCGGAGTCGATTTGTTCTTGGAGGTTTCTGCATTCGCGCTCCACGGCCCCCAAATCAGTCACCGCTTTGATTATAACTGAACAGTCGTCGCGGAGTTGCGCTAGTAATTTATAGGCTTTTCGGGCAGTCTCGTCGTGTTTGGCGTCCTGAAAATAAATTTTTATTGGGGTTTATAAACAACGAAGCGACTGACCCGGAAAATGAGCTCGTCTGCGAGGGTGAACGATCTGTCCACTTGTCCCGTCAAAGAACTGATTTCGCGTTGGACTTCTCGTGTGTCTTTGAGAATTTTCTGGATTTCTTCATCCTGTTTTTTTATGTTACCTATGATTTCTAAAATCCGTCTTGTGTATCCTGATCTGGTGTTGGTTTTGTTGACTTGTTCTAGCTTCTTTCTGAGTTGGTCTTCCAACTGGGTTTTTTCGTGAAGATCTGTGTTCAGCGTCTTGTGGGTTTCTTCTAATTTTTTGAACTTGTCTTGTTCTTGTTGTTGCTTCAAATCTTTACTACTGATGGCGTTTTGTAGCGATTTGTACTCTTCTAGAAGAGGGGTTTGGATGCTCTTCCACTGCTCTGTTAAATTGACAAGCTTGTTTCTGCTAGCTTCAATCATGTTCTTCAGTTTTTGCAGATTTTCTTCCTTACTTATAACCGTGAGCGTCTTTGATTTTAAATTAACTTGAGAGAGCAAAGTTTGAAGGGTTTCTTCTTCCTCAGTTCTAGATTTGGCCAGTTGCTCTAGCTGTGACTCATAACTTTTAACTTTCTTATCAAGTTCCACACACTCTTCTTTTTTTAGTTTGACGTCGTCAACCAGCGCTTGTAGTTTTTGCTCAGACTCAGACTCTTCAGTCACTTCAGGCATTTTCACTTGGACTAGTTCTGAAGATTTCAGAGGCGTGATTTCTTCTCTGTGTGAAGACACTTTGAAGCAATTCCTCAAATCCGTATCTACACTACTGATAAGGCAATCTTTGAACAACAGCGACGGCAGCAATTCTTCCACCTCACACTGCTTAGTAACCACGGGCACATTCCTCACCCAGTACTCCTTAAGTGCCTCATCACTATAACTCCTACTAGTAAATGGCACTTGCAATTTAACCCCTTTCAAAGGTCTACAATTCCCGAAACTATGAAAAAACAGTCCCTCGTTCCTCCTGAACCCGTTCCGCAAAACACACGAAGGCACCCACACCTGCTGCAACGACCCCCTCACTTTCTGTTCAATTTCTTTAACTAAAGTCGGGACGTAGCCCGTCTGTTCAACGTGAGCCACTTTGCTCGCTTCGCGCGGCAATCGCTCAACCAAGAACATCAAAACGCGCCGAATTTCGGCCTCGTTGCAGTACAAAATCGTCTGATAACCTATATCATCACGGAAGCCTAAATCTTTAATTTGGGCGGCTAGACTAGAAGTTATTTTTAGTTTGATGCTCATGGAAGGTGGCAGTTTCTTGGGGAACGACGTGTCAGGGATCATAGCTTCCAAACAGCGCGAAATCGCGCTGACAACCATGTCGGCGTCGAAATGTTTGAGCGACGTGACGTCGTCTTCGAAATCACTGGAATTTGGCGGTTAGGTTACATCGATGGGTGAAACAAACCTACCAGTGGAGGTTTTTCAAGGAATCAATTATGATAGCGTCGATTTCTTCCATTTTAATTGAGAAGTTTTGAAAACGTCAAAATAAACGTCAGTGTCAATGACACCGGACGGGTGACAGAAAAACAAACACGGCTGCCAACGGCACGAGTGCCAACTGTCGCGGGGTTTTTTTGCGGAGGCACTAATTAGGAGGATTGGCGCGCGTGCGCCACTTAAGCCAATTAAGGTGGGAAAAAGTGCCTTCGTTTTGGTGCAGTGTAGAGTCTCATTAACATCACCTAGTTGGAAATAGGTGGAAATAATTGTGCAATCATCTGTACTGAGGGGGCGGATATTGGAAGAGACGTCTGACCCACATTTGCATAATTTTGAATAATGTTTTGGGCCACAAAACAAACACTAGCACTATATAAGGGTGGCGCGGTGGCTATGGAAGACAGTACACCAGCTACAACCAACACTTGAGGTAAGATAAAGATTTATACACACACAACAACAACAAATTTATTACATATTTTGTTAATAATAATTGTTTTCAGATGGACAAACGTGTGATATTCTTGTTCTTCTTGCTCAATGTCGTCTCTGTTTGGTCTTCGCCCCGCATGGTCCACCTAATGAACAAGCGTGAAGTCTACTACTGTGGCTCCAAACTGGCAAGCGCTTTGGCCCTAGTCTGTAACGGGAAATACAACTCCCCCAGCAAAAAATCATGTACTTAACTAAGTTAACCCCAACCAAACAACAAACATTAACAACTGTTTATTATTCCAGTCGACGACTTGTTGGCCTACGACGAATACAACGAATTCTTCCCCAGCGAGACCGACGAAGACACCCAGTTCGACTTTCCTTTCCTCCAGAAGGGGGCTGCCAACTCGCTCCTACCAATGAGATTCCGCAAGAGCAAGGGCATCGTCGACGAGTGTTGTCGGAAACCATGCACTCTCAAACATTTGGAATTATACTGTGCGTAATAATTAAAAAAATACCATTTATCAGTGTAGTAGCATTAAAAAAACCACATTTTTTGTAAAATAAAATCAAATATATAACGTTGCATACACCCTGTGTCTTGTTTATTTATCTATCGCGAATTTTATCGAATGTTTTTTGACCTGTGATTATGCACGAGAGATTAGATGCTCTTACTTAATCATTATTCGAATATTCAGTGTGAGATTTAATTGAAACATGGCTGGGCGGTTTTTGTGTTTCCCCCTGAGGACTGGCGCTTTTTTCATGGTTTTTGCAACCACCGTAAGTAGGTGCACCTGATTACGTGAAGCTACTAATCGAAACGTTGCAGATGTTAGGCGTTGGGTGTTTCTGGGCGGGTTCGGAGCAGGCCAGCTTACTGAATAACGAAATGGTGGTGAAAAAGGCCTATTTTCCGTTAACGATTGGTCTCACTTTAATAATAAGCGCGTTTTTTCTTCTACATGGCACACTTAAAGTAAGCTTCTACAGTGGCGCCATCGCACGGAAAAATCGTGTAGTTGTTGATAGATGGCGCTGCGTCAGGGGCGACTTTCACCCTTATAATATTTTGTTGTAGGTTAAGCCTCACTGGATTTTTTCCTATCTCGTATTAAGCTCCACGTGTATCTTTATTTTAACTGTTATTGTTTTAGTTATCGCGCCAACTGCTCTGTGTGTGTTTGCAGGTGCACTATATTTTTCACTGACGTAATTCGTATTAAAAATCTTTTTTTTTTAGTTTTGTGGTACGGGCAATTTTGTGTGAACAGCTTTTATAAGTTGGTTGTGGACGCTAAAGAGTTTTTCGGTGAAGTGGTTGCCGCTTTTGATGGAGATATTACCATTGTTCACATTGTTTAATATATTTTTACAAAGTTAAGTAGTAAGTGATTAAGAAAAAAAAAACTGAGTATGAGAAGGCGCCGGTCCGGAACTTTGTGTATAGTTTCAAAATCTCTGACGCTGAAATAACGCCAGGGGAAGATGTGGCTCGAATTTAAATATTCATAATTGGTGATGACTAATGAAAAAAAATCTTGACAATAATAATACAAAAAAAGTGGTCTAATAGTTATTTAGACAGAACTCTTAACATAAAACAACTTTCTCAGATAACATAATTATAAAATTTGACTTTGCTAATTTTGTTTATTTTATACGTACAATTTCAAGTGAGATTTTCGTAAAAAAAATGACGTTATCAACTTTTTAGCAACATCAAGAATTGTGGAAAAAAAATATAAAAAAGAACAAAAGTATCGATAACAAGGTGAAAAAAACCGATAAAAAGTTGAGAAAAACATCAAAAACACGTGAAGGAAAGTATGAAACAAGCAATAAAAAAAAAGTAAAACAAGAAAGGCGATAAAGAGGGACAAAAATTCACAGAAAACGTGACTGAAGGAAAGGGAGTCAGAAAAGTGGACAGATTGATAAAAAAGGAGGCAACCAAAAAAAGACGATAAAGAGCGGTAAAAGAAAACATCAAGAAAGACCTTTCGAAATACAAAAAAAATGACGACAAGAAATTGATTAACAAGGAGACCAAAAAAAGGCAACAAAAGTGCCAAAAAAGCGACGAAAACAACCTATAAAAAACGAGGAAGGAAAAAGGGGAAAAAAGAGTGAAGTGTCAAAACAGGAGCATCAAAAAGGCGACAGAAAAAATGAAAAAAACCACAAAAAATGATATAAGAACAGCGAAAAAACAACAAAGATGACAAAACATAGAGCAAAAAAGACTACTAAAAATACTATGAGGAGAAAAAAGGGGAAAAAGTGACCGAAAAGTCAAAAAAAGGCGGCAGAAACAAAAAATAAAAAACAAAAACTGAGACAAAAGGTCATAAAACATAGACCAAAAAAACTATGATAAAATGAGAAAAAAAAGGTGACCAAAATTGTCAAAGAAAACGACAATTTTGGAAGAGAAAACCAAAAAGGGAACAAAAAGGGCAAAAAACACGAAAAAAAAGGAATCAACCAAAAATGGGAGGACAAAGAAAGAGGCAAAAGAAAGGATCAAAGATGATGTCAAAAAACAAAGAAATATGACATAAATAAATAAATAATAATAATAAAATAATAAAAAAGGGGACAAAAAAAGCGTCAAAAAAGGTGACAAAAATGAAGGGAAAAAAGTAAAAAGTGACCAAGTGACAAAAAAACGGAGCAAAAAAAATCGACACAAACAAATTGAAAAAAGAAACCAAAAAAAAAAATTAAAAAAAAGACGAAAAAGGCTACAAAAAGTAACAAAAACAAAAAACAACTACACCAAAAGGGACAAAAAACGCTATAGAATGGATGAAGAAGAAGTGAATAAAAAGCCTACAAAATGATTAAAATATAATAAAAAAATAGACCAGAAAAAAAATTGAAAAAAAGCAACAAAAACAAATGGGACAACAAGGGCAAAAAACTACAAAAAGGTGACAATAAACTACCAAAAAAAAAGAAAAAAAGGTGTCAACAAAAATTAAACAAAAAAAAAAAAAGGGACAAGTGACGAAAGGTGTGAAAAAAAGCGAGTGTCAAAGATATCATATAAAAAAAGACATGAAATTGATAAAAAAAGGGGTAAAAAAAGAGACAAAAAGGTAAAAAAGCGACCAAAAACATACTAATAATAATGAAGAGAAAAAAAGGGGGAAAAGTGACCAAAAGGTCAAAAAAGCGGAATAAAAAATTGAAAAAAAAAAACAAAAAATTATACAAAAGGTGATAAAACACAGACTAAAAAAGACTATGATGATACTTAAAGAGAAAACCAAAAGAGGAACAAAAAGGGTAAAAAGGGAGACAACAAAACCAACTAAATAAAACAACAAAAAGTGACGAAAAATGTGGGAAAAACACGAAAAAAAAGGAATTAACCAAAAAAAAGAGAACAAAGAAAGAAGCAAAAGAAGACATCAAAAAAGACGTCAAAAAAACAAAAAAAAATGATATCAAACTAATAAAAAAAAGGGTAAAAAAAAGCGTCAAAAAAGGTGACAAAAAAAGTGATCAAGTGTCAAAAAAAAGAGCAGAAAAAAGCGACACAAACAAACTGAAAAAAAGACAGCACAAAAAAATAGAAAAAAAGAGGAACAAAAAGGCGAGAAAAAGTAACAAAAACAAAAAAACTCTAAAAAAACGCGATAGAAAGGGTGAAGAAGAAGTGAATAAAAAGCCTATAAGAATGATTAAAATATAATTAAAAAATAGACCAGAAAAAAATTGAAAAAAAAGCAACAAAAAAAATGGAACAAAAAGGGCAAAAACTACAAAAAGGTGACAACAAAAATTAAACGAAAAAAAGGGAGCAACTAAAACAAAAGAAAGACAAAGAAAGAAGCAAAAGAAGGCATCAAAGTGTCAAAAATATCATATAAAAAAAAAACTACATGAAATTGATAAAAAAGGGGTAAAAAAAGAGACAAAAAGGTAAAAAAGCGACCAAAAACATACTAATAATAATGAAGACAAAAAAGGGGAAAAAGTGACCAAAAGGTCAAAAAAAAGCGGCATAAAAAATTGAAAAAAAAAAAAAAACAAAAAGTGAGACAAAGAAGGGCAAAAAAACGACAAAAAGGTGACAAAACATGGAGCAAAAAAGACCACAAAAAAATGAAAAAAAAAAAGGTGACAACAAAACAGACTAAATAAAAAAAAAAAGGTGTGGCGAAAGTGTGAAACAAGCAACAAAAAAAAAAGGAAGAACTAAAAAAGGACGACAAAGAAAGGCAAAAGAAGGCATTAAAAAGTATTAAAGAAGAGAAATGTGCTGTGCAAAATTTGCTTATAAGTTAATACACAATAAGATTGACTGTGCATTTTTACTTTCCAAATTACCATTTTATGTGCCACGTTTAGCATCACGATATGAAGCAAGTTTTCAAGTGCCAACGGCGAGAACAAATGTTTTACAACGTTCACCGATTCATGTCATGTGTAAAGCTGTAGATAATGTATATAATGATGTATTTTGTTAGGGACACCCAGAAATTTGTTATATTTTTTTCTTTTTTTATTGTTAATTTTCTTTATTTAACTTTATTTTGTTAAACACACATTGTTATTAATATTGTCCTATAAGTGGTAAATCTGTTGGACAATAAAGAACATATTATTATTATTATTATTATTATTATTAAAAAGGTAAAAAACCGAGCAAAAAAATAGTAATAAAAACGAAGAGAAAAAAGGGTAAAAAGTGACCAAAATGTCAAAAAAAAGCGGTGGAAAAAAAATTGAAAAAAAAAAAACAAAAAATGAGACAAAAGGTGATAAAACACAGACTAAAAAAAGACTATGATGATATTTAATGAGAAAAAAAAACAGGAAAAAAAGGTGACCAAAATTGTCAAAAAACCGACAATTTTGAAAAAGAAAACCAAAAAAGGAACAAAAAGAGTAAAAAGGGAGACAACAAAACCAACTAAATAAAACAAAAAAAAAAAGTGACGAAAAATATAGGAAAAAATAACGAAAAAAAAAAGGAATTAACCAAAAAAAGAGAACAAAGAAAGAAGCAAAAGAAGACATAAAAAAAGACGTCAAAAAAACAAAAAAAGATGATATCAAACTAATAAAAAAAGGGGTAAAAAACATCAAAAAGGGCGACAAAAAAGGAGCAGAAAAAAACGACACAAACAAACTGAAAAAAGAAGAGGAAAAAAAGGGCGAGAAAAAGTAACAAAAACAAAAAAAAACTACACTAAAAAAAAAACGCGATAGGAAGAGTGAAGAAGAAGTGAATGAAAAGCCTACAAAAAATGATTTAAAAAAGTCCAAAAATAACGGTAAGTTTAAAAGGGCAAAAAAGAAGAAAAATATACTAGAAAAAATTGACAAAAAAAACAGCAAAAAAATGAACACAAGAAGCGGAAAGCAGGGGATAATAAAGCCGACTTAAAAGAGAATGATAAAAAGTGTTGAAAAAAGAAGGCATTAAAAGTCTCAAAAAAGAGAGCACTAAAAAGGCTACACAAAAAAAAATGAAAAAAAAAAACACACACAAAAAAGGGCCAAAAAAGAGAGTGACCAAATGTGACAGAAAAAATGCCAAAAGATTCAAAAAAGAGTGCACCAAAAAGGCAACAAAAAGGGGACAACAAAACCGACGAAATAAAACAAAAAAAGGGGGGAAAGTGACGAAAAGTGACTAAAGCAACAAAAAAGAATGAAGCAACTAAAACAAAACAAAGACGAGAAAGAAAGGGGCAAAAGAAGGCATCAAAAAGCGTCAAAAATATCAAAAAAGACGACATGAAATTGACAAAAAGGGGTAAAAGGCGACCAAAAAACACCAATAAAAATGAGGAGAGCTTAACCCCAACCAAATAACAATTGTTTATTACTCCAGTCGACGACTTGTTGGCCTACGACGAATACAACGAATTCTTCCCCAGCGAGACCGACGAAGACACCCAGTTCGACTTTCCTTTCCTCCAGAAGGGGGCTGCCAACTCGCTCCTACCAATGCGATTCCGCAAGAGCAAGGGCATCGTCGACGAGTGTTGTCGGAAACCATGCACCCTCAAACATTTGGAATTATACTGTGCGTAATAATTAAAAAATACCATTTATAAGTGTAGTAGCATTAAAAAAACCACATTTTTTGTAAAATAAAATCAAATATATAACGTTGCATACACCCTGTGTCTTGTTTATTTATCTATCGCGAATTTTATCGAATGTTTTTTGACCTGTGATTATGCACGAGAGATTAGATGCTCTTACTTAATCATTATTCGAATATTCAGTGTGAGATTTAATTGAAACATGGCTGGGCGGTTTTTGTGTTTCCCCCTGAGGACTGGCGCGTTTTTCATGGTTTTTGCAACCACCGTAAGTAGGCGCACCTGTTTACGTGAAGCTACTAATCGAAACGTTGCAGATGTTAGGCGTTGGGTGTTTCTGGGCGGGTTCGGAGCAGGCCAACTTATTGAATAACGAAATGGTGGTGAAAAAGGCCTATTTTCCATTAACCATTGGGCTTACTTTAATAATAAGCGCGTTTTTTCTTCTACATGGTACACTTAAAGTAAGCTTCTACAGTGGCGCCATCGCACGGAAAAATCGTGTAGTTGTTGATAGATGGCGCTGCGTCAGGGGCGATTTTCACCCTTATTTAATATTTTGTTGTAGGTCAAACCTCACTGGATTTTTTCCTATCTCGTATTAAGCTCCACGTGTATCTTTATTTTAACTGTTATTGTTTTAGTTATCGCGCCGACGGCTCTGTGTGTGTTTGCAGGTGCACTATATTTTTCGCTGTCGTAATTCGTATTAAAAATCTTTTTTTTTTAGTTTTGTGGTACGGGCAATTTTGTGTGAACAGCTTTTATAAGTTGGTTGTGGACGCTAAAGAGTTTTTCGGTGAAGTGGTTGCCGTTTTTGATGGAGATATTACTATTGTTCACATTGTTTAATATATTTTTACAAAGTTAAGTTGTAAGTGATTAAGAAAAAAAAAAAAAAGTCAAAACTGAGTATGAGAAGTCCGGAAACTTGTGTTCAAAATAGCTGACGCTGAAATAACGTCAGGTAGAATTTCAATATTTTTTGTCTTTAGTGACTGGTTTGTTGCGGAAGATGTGGTTTGAATTTTAATATTCGTAAGTGGTGATGAATATTGAAAAAAAAAAATTTAAATTCAATTTTGCTAATTTTATTTATTTTATACGTACATGTTTCAAGTGAGATTTTCGTAAAAAAAAATGACGTTATCAACTTTTTAGCAACATCAAGAAAAACGACAAAAAAGCGGTAAGACAATATGGAAAAACATACAAAAAAGGACAAAAATCACGATAAAAAAGGTGAAAAAAAAAAACGATGAAAAGTTATAAAAAATGAGAAAAACATCGAAAACACGTGAAACAAGCAACAAAAAAAAAGCAAAACAAAAAAGGCGATAAAAAGGGACAAAATACACAGAAAACGTGACTAAAGGAAAGGAAGTAAAAAAAGTGAGCAGGCTGATAAAAAAGGTATCAACAAAAATTAAATAAAAAAAAATCAACAAAAAAAAAACGAAGCAACTAAAACAAAAGAAGGGCGACAAAAAAAGAGGCAAAAGAAAGCATCAAAAAGCTTCAAGTGACCAAAAAAAAAGTAATAAAAATGAGGACAAAAAAGAGACCAAAAAGTCAAAAAAAGGAGGCAAAAACAAGATTTAAAAAAAAGCCACAAAAAAATTGAGACAAAAGGTGATAAAACACAGACCAAAAAAGACTTTGATAAAATGAGAAAAAAAAAGGAAAAAATAGAGAAAAAAGGGGGACCAAAATCGTCAAAAAAAAACCACAATAATTTTGAACAAAAAGGGCAAAGAAGGAGACAGCAAAACCGACTAAATAAAAGAACAAAAAAAAGTTTTGGAAAAAGTGACGAAAAAACATCGGAAAACAAAGGAATCAAGCAAAAAAAGAGAGGATAAAGAAAGAGGCAAAAGAAGGCATTAAAAAACAAAAAAAGATGATATCAAATTAATAAAAAAAGGGGGGTAAAAACAGCGACAAAAAAGGTGTCAAAAAAGTGATAAAAAATTCTACTAAAAATGAGGTGAAAAAAGTAAAAATGATCAAGTGTCAAAAAAAAGGAGTAGAAAAAAAAGCGACATAAACAAATTAAAAAAAAAGGGACAAAAAAAAACGAACAAACAAAAAAAGGCGAGAAAAGAGCGGCAAAAAGTAACAAAAACAAAAAACTACACAAAAGGGAAAAAAACGCCATAAAAAGGGCGAAGAAGAAGCGAAAAAAAAACCGGTGAAACTGAAGTACAAAAAACAGAAAAATAGGCCAGAAAAAATCGAAAAAAAGAACAGCAAAAAAAGGGGACACCAGATGCGGAAAGCAGGGGATAATAAAACCGATAAAATAGAGCAAGAAAAAGAAAAACATAAAAAAGCGTAAAAAAAAAGGATGCAAAAAAAGCGAAAAACAACAAAAAAAAGTGTCAAAAAAAGGCGTAAAGTACTAAAAAAATGTGACCAAAAAAAAAAGATTAAAAAAAGGCGACAAAAAAGTAATCAAAAGAGAGAGCACCAAAAAGGCGACACAAGAAATAAAAAAAACAACAAAAAAATGACAAAACAAGTAGATCAAAAAAAAGGAATGTGACAAAAAAACCGCCAAAAAGAGTGCACCAAAAAGGCAACAAAAAGGGGACAACAAAACCGACTAAATAAACCAAAAATAAAAAGGATAAGTGATGGAAACAAAAAAAGGAAGCAACTAAAACAAATACAAGACGACAAAGAAAGAGACAAAAAGCGTAAAAAAATAAAAAACCATGAAATTGACAAAAACGGGTAAAAAAACGCCAAAAAGATAAAAATTGCGACCAAAAAATATTAATAAAAATGAGGAGAAAAAAGGGGAAAAAGTGACCAAAATGTCGAAAAAAGGCGGCAGAAAAAAATTGAAAAAAAGCAACAAAAAAAATTAGACAAAAGGTGACAAACACAGAGCAAAAAAGACTATGATAAAATGAGAAAAAAAAAGGGGACAACAAAACCGACTAAAAAAAAATCGGAAAAAGTGACGAAAAATATGAGGAAAAACACGAAAAAAAGGAATCAACCCAAAAGAGACGCCAAAGAAAGAGGCAAAAGAATGCATAAAAAAAACGTCAAAAAACAAAAAAAAGACCAAGTGTTAAAAAAGGAGCAGAAAAAAAAAAACAACACAAACAAATTGAAAAAAAAGAGACCAAAAAATAGAAAAAAAGACGACAAAAGGGCGAGAAAAAAATAACAAACTCCACCAAAGAGGACCAAAAAAGCGATAGAAAGGGTGAAGAAAAAGTGAATAAAAAGCCTATAAAAAATGTTTAGAAAAAAACCCGGTGACTCTAAAAGTGCAAAAAGAGAAAAATAAACCAGAAAAAATCCAAAAAAAATAAAATAAAAAACAAGGCCGACTTCATAAAGAAACAAAAAGAAAACGATGAAAAAAGCGCAAAAAAAAGGAGGCAACAAAAAAGCGAAAAACAACAAAAAGTCACAAAAGCGTCAAAATGGCGTAAAGTAGTAAAAAAAAAGCGACAAAAAAATTATAAAAAAGGCGACAAGAAAGTGATCAAAAGTGTCAAAAAAGGGAGCAACCAAAAAAGACCAAACAAAATATGAAGAAAACAACAAAAACTCAGTTAAGAAGGGTGAAAAAACAACAAAAAGATGACAAAACATTGATCAAAAAAGACTACAAAAAATGAAAAAAAGACCAAATCTGAAAAAAAACTGCCAAAAAATTCGAAAAAGACTGCACCAAAAAGTGGACAACAAAACCGACTAAAAAAAAAAAGATAAGTGACGAAGTGTGAAAAAAAGTAACAAAGATTTTTTAAAAAAGCAACAAAAAAGACAAAAGGTGACAAAACACCGACCAAAAAAGACCGTGATAAAATGAGAAAAAAAAAAGGTAAGCAAAATTGTCAAAAAACCGACAACAATTTTGAAATAGAAAACCAAAAAGGGAACAAACAGGGCGAAAAAGGGGGACAACAAAACCGACTAAATAAAACACCTAAAAAAAATCGGAAAAAGTGACGGAAAATATGAGGAAAAAGACGAAAAAAAGGAGTCAAACCAAAAGAGACGACAAAGAAAGAGGCAAAAGAAGACATCAACAAACACGTCAAAGACAAAAAAAAGATGTTATCAAATTAATAAACAAAAGGGTAAAGAAAGCGACAAAAAAAGTGGCCAAGTTTCAAAAAAAGGAGGAGAAAAAAAGACAAACGAATTGAAAAAAAAAAGAACAAAATTGAAATAAAGACGAAAAAAGGCGGGAAAAAGGCGCGGCAAAAAGTAACAAAAAAAAAACTACACCAAAGGAAACAAAAAGCGCGATAGAAAGGGTGATGAAAAAGTGAATAAAAAGCCTATAAAAAATGTTTAAAAAAAGGCAAAAAAAACCGGCGTGCCTAAAAATGCAAAAAAGAGAAGAATAAACCACAAAAAAAACACAGCAAAAAATAAAGGCGATTTAATAAAGTAACAAAAAGAAAAACATTAAAAAGGTTAAAAAAGGAGGCAACAAAAGAGAAGAGTGAAAAAAAGCGTCAAAAAGGCGTAAAGTAGTAAAAAATACGACAAAAAAAAGATAAAACAAGGCGACAAGAGAGTGATCAAAAGTTTCAAAAAAGGTAGCAACTAAAAAGGCGACACAAAATATGAAAAAAAATCAACAACAAAAAATGAGTTAAGAAGTGCGAAAAAACAACAAAAAGATGGCAAAACATACAGCAAAACAGACTACAAAAAATAAGAAAAAAAGGGTGACCAAATCCGACAAAAAAGTCAAAAAATTCGAAAAAGAGTGCACCAAAAAGGGAACAAAGAGGGGACAACAAAACCGACTAAATGAAGCAAACAAAAAAAGGGATAGGTGACCAAAAGTGTGAAAAAAGCAAAAAAAATGAAGTAACTAAAACAAAAGAATGAAGCAAAAAAAGGTATCAAAAAGACGTCAAAAAAAAGACGACATCGGAAAAAGTGACAGAAAATATGGGAAAAACACGAAAAAAAGGAATCAACCATAAAAGAGACTTCAAAAAGACGTCAAAAACAAAACAAAAATTATTTCAAATTAACAAAAAAAAGGAGGGAAAAAAGCGACAAAAATTCTGTAAAAATGAGGTGAAAAAAATAAAAAGCGACCAAAAGTATCATAAAGGGACAAACAAATTGAGAAAAAGGCGAGAAAAAAGGGCGACAAAAAGTAACAAAAACAAAAAACTACATAAAACGGGACAAAAACGCGATAAAACGGGTGAAAAGTCTATAAAAAATGTTTAAAAAAAATCGAAAAAAAAACTGGTGTTTATTAGAGAGAGAGTGTTTATTAGGTGGTTACAAATCTGTTAAAGTGGGGAGTGGAAAATCGTGAATGGGTGAGTCTAAAAGTGCCAAAAAAAGTGGACACAAGAGCAGAAAGGCGACTTAATAAAACAACAAAAAAAGAAAAAGGTGAAAAAAGCGCCAAAAAAGGCGTAATCCAGTAAAAGTAATGCGACAGAAAAAGGCGACAAAGAGTTCACAACAAAACGTGAAAAAGAACTACCAAAAAATGAGATTAAAAAAATGAAAAATGTAACAAAAAAAGGTGGCAACAACAAAGTCGGAAAAAGCGACAAACAGGCGCCAAATAAAATGAAAAAAATCGAGAAACAAAGCAAAACAAAACAAACGACAGGGTACTAGTCTGTGCGACACACATACGGAAACGTGAGACACATTTTGTATACTCTAGGAGGTTATGAAAAACGTGAAATTAACCATTCATTAAGTGGACCACATCGGTTCCACATTACAATATTTCCCGTGTAATAATCGTAAGAAAAAACAAGAATTTTAAATAAAAATCAGTCTGAAACTAACGCAGATTGCGTCACTGAATTAAAAAAATATATATAGAAGTGATGCCAACTTATTGTCACTTATGCGTCTACGATTTTGATCAATAAGTCGCCGGACCTCTATCTCCCCGACTTTATTTATTTTCCGACCAATCAACGTCTTACTCGCCCGACGAAATTTCGTTAACGCAATTAAATCCCACTAAAAATAAACAGTCTTCAGAACGTGGAATTTTAATGTCTTAATTATAAATAAAATACACACACCGTTTAAATATAAAAAGTAGAAACCCAGTCCCCATCAAACCGACGAATTCTGCGACTGCTGCGAATCCTGCGAGGGCTCCTCGTCCTTAACCTCACCTGCGCCCTCGCCGTCGCACTTGTCGCCTTCAGTGTTGCCACTACACGCACCTTCCACTGCGGTAAACTCCGGCAGTGCTACCACCATGATCAAGTCCTTGTAAAACAAATAGACGCAGTACTGTATCGGCCACCAGATGATCAGCACCACGTAGACGATGACGAAAATGTGCACCTGCAGCTCCTTCACCTTGGGTATGATCAGGACGGAGATGAGCACGGTGGTGAACGCCACGACCATCGTCGCCAGGATCAAATAGACCAAAATAAACCTGGCGTTGTCCTACAAAAGCCGCTTGACAATGCACCGCCGCGAAACAGCCTCACCTTGACTACTCCCATCAGTAAGACCAACCCACCGGCCACCGCCAGCAATCCCAGCATTAAAAATAAACCACTTAGTGGAGCTATTCCCCTGGTGATTATGCTGCACATGCCCCCCACCTGCAAGCACACGGTGACTGACGGCCTAACTGGTGTTTAGCGAGTTACGATGTTGCTGAAGACGACGAAGTAGACGACGGCTTTGATGAATTTGCGACGGCAGTTTTTCGACATTTTTTCGTCGGGTTTGTGGGCATTGGAGCGACGGCGACACTACACTAAGAATTTTTTTGCTAAAGTTTTATTGTCGCTCGTAAAATTGTTGGCGCTTATTCAGCGAAGCGCCCGTCTCTGTCTAAAAGGTTGGATGGGAGGCCGAGATAGTTGTTGAGATTTTATTGATTTTCATGCACGAAATAAACACAGCAATGTATGAGGCTATATTTGCTTTCAAGATATAAACGGAAAGCTGGCGGTTTTAGGACTCTGGAGACGGTTGGTGTGCGTTGTAAAAATTTACTACTTTGTTTCTCAAGCCGAGATTCTTGCGCCGAGATTTGGTGGATGCGCCGGGTTCTTACCTTTTTTTTGTGAATTCTTGGAGTGGTTAAATCACCGACAAAAGAGTAAAAACTGTTTTAGTACCTTGTAAATTATTTTTTTCATGTCATATAAAAAGTGCTTCCTTTGAAACATAATTCGGACGCTCCAAATATTTACGTTACTTTATTTACTAATTTTTGACGTTTATTTGTGTTATTCTACCAAGTATTGACACAACTCCAAAATAAAGGTAATCCCAGAGGCACATAAATATTAGAATAAATAATCAAAAAATTGGTCGAAAGTTATTCGCCCCTGAAGTGCAGTCGAAAATAACGATAAATCGAGAAATTCAGAGATCAAAAAATTAAAAAAACGGAAAATTGGCTAATCGAAATCCAATAAGTCTAAAACTGAAATGCTGAAAAATTGAGAAAACGAGAACTTGAAAAATCAATAAAGACAACATTTTTTAAAAATCGTGAAATCGAAAAATGGAAAAATGTGAAATCAATAAAATTGAAATATTGAAAAATCAATAAAAATGAATAGAAATCGAAAATATGTATAAAAAACCTCAAAACTGAAAAATCAAAAACCTGAAAAATCCCAAAACTGAAAAATCGAAGAAAAATTGAAAAATCGAACAAGTGAAATATTGAGAAATCTAAAATTTAGAAAGTTAAATAGTGAAAAATCGTAAAACTGAACCATCGAAAAATGAAATAATGAAGAAATCAAAAATTTGAAGAATGGAGAAATTGAACAATCGAAAAATGTTAAATTTAAAATAACGACAAATTGAAAAATCAAAAAATAAATAGAAATAATAAAGACCCGAAAAATCGAAAAATCGGGGAATCGAAACATAAAAAAATCGAAAACTCGAGAATTCGAAAAATTGGGAAATGAAAAAGTAAAAGATCGAAAAATCGAAATACTGAAAATCCCAGAACAGAAATATCGAAAAATTGAAGTCGAAAAATCGAAAATATAAAAAAATCAAAAACCTGAATAATCCCAAAACTGAAAAATCGAAAAACTGAAAATTCGAGAAATGGAAAATGTAGAAACGTCACAAATTGAAAAATCGTTAAACTGAAATATCGAAAAATTGAAAAATATCGACAAATTGAGTAATCAATAAATTGAATAATCGATAAAATAAAAAATCGAAGTCGAAAAATCCAAGCCAAAAAATCAAAAAATTGAAGAAATGGAAAAAAATTGAACGATTCAAAAGTCGAAAATTGAAAAATCAAAAAAATTAAAAACCCCAAAACTGAAATATCGAAAAATTGAGTAATGGATAATCATTAATTAATCGAAAAAGTAAAAAATCGAGAAGTCGAAAAGTCGAAAAATCGAAAAATCAAAGAAAAATGGAAATCGCAAGAAATCAAAAATTTGAAGAATCGAAAAATTGAAAAATATCGAAAAATTAAGTAACCAATAAATTGAATAATCGATAAACTAAAAAATCGAGAACTCGAAAAGTCGAAAAATCGAAGTCAAAAAATCAAAAAATTGAAGAATCGATAAATTGAAAAATCGAAAAACATTGAAGAATCGATAAGTTGAAAAATCTAAAAGTCGAAAATCGAAAATTGAAAAATAAAAAAAAAATAAAATCTCAAAAACGAAACATCAAAAAATCAAAAAATTGAAAAATCGAAGAAAAATGGAAGAATCGATAAATTGAAAAAAAGAAAAGTTGAAAAATCGACAAATTGAGTAATCGATAAATAATAGGAGTAGAGTAATTGATAAACTGAAAAATCGAGAAATCGAAATGTAGAAAAATCGAAGTCGAAAGATCGAAGAAAAATTGAAGAATCGTTAAACTGAAGAATCCCAACACTCAAATATCGAAAAATTGGGGAATCGAAACATAAAAAAATCGAAAAGTCGAGAATTCGAAAAATTGGGAAATCAAAAAGTAAAAGATAAAAAAATCGAAATACTGAAAATCCCAGAACAGAAATATCGAAAAATTGAAGTCGAAAAATCGAAAATATAAAAAAATCAAAAACCTGAATAATCCCAAAACTGAAAAATCGAAAAACTGAAAATTCGAGAAATGGAAAATGTAGAAACGTCACAAATTGAAAAATCGTTAAACTGAAATATCGAAAAATTGAAAAATGTCGACAAATTGAGTAATCAATAAATTGAATAATCGATAAAATAAAAAATCGAAGTCGAAAAATCCAAGCCAAAAAATCAAAAAATTGAAGAATCGGAAAAAAATTGAACGATTCAAAAGTCGAAAATTGAAAAATCAAAAAAATTAAAAACCCCAAAACTGAAATATCGAAAAATTGAGTAATGGATAATCATTAATTAATCGAAAAAGTAAAAAATCGAGAAGTCGAAAAGTCGAAAAATCGAAAAATCAAAGAAAAATGGAAATCGCAAGAAATCAAAAATTTGAAGAATCGAAAAATTGAAAAATATCGAAAAATTAAGTAACCAATAAATTGAATAATCGATAAACTAAAAAATCGAGAACTCGAAAAGTCGAAAAATCGAAGTCAAAAAATAAAAAATTTGAAGAATCGATAAATTGAAAAATCGAAAAACATTGAAGAATCGATAAGTTGAAAAATCTAAAAGTCGAAAATCGAAAATTGAAAAATAAAAAAAATAAAATCTCAAAAACGAAACATCAAAAAATCAAAAAATTGAAAAATCGAAGAAAAATGGAAGAATCGATAAATTGAAAAAAAGAAAAGTTGAAAAATCGACAAATTGAGTTATCGATAAATAATAGGAGTAGAGTAATTGATAAACTGAAAAATCGAGAAATCGAAATGTAGAAAAATCGAAGTCGAAAGATCGAAGAAAAATTGAAGAATCGTTAAACTGAAGAATCCCAACACTCAAATATCGAAAAATTGGGTAATCAATACATCAAATAATTGATAAATTGAAAAACAGAGAATTCTAAAAATCCAAAAATTGAAAAATTGAATAATGAAAAAAATTAAAAACCCCAAAACTGAAATATCGAAAAATTGAATAATCGATAAACTGAAAAATCCAGAACTCGAAAAGTCGAAAAATCGAATTTAAAAATTTAAAAAATCAAAAAAATTAAAAACCCCAAAACTGAAATATCGAAAAATTGAGAAATCGATAAATAATCGATAAACTAAAAAATGGAGAACTTGAAAATTCGAAAAATCGAAGTCAAAAAATCAAAAAATTGAAAAATCGAAAAAAATTGAAAAATCCAAAAGTCGAAAAATTAAAAAATCGAAGTCGAAAATCGAAAATTGAAAAATAAAAAAGTTAAAACCGAAAAACTGAAAGTTCGAAAAATGGAAAATGTAGAAACATCACAAATTGAAAAATCGTTAAACTGAAACATCGAAAAATTGAGTAATCGCAAAATTAAAAACACAAGAAATCAAAAATTTGAAGAATAAAAAAATTGAAAAATTTCAAATAATTGAGTAATCAATAAATTGAATAATCGAAAAACTAAAAAATCAAGAACTTAAAAAGTCGAAAAATCGATGAATTGAAAAATTGAAAAGTCGAGAAATTGAATAATCGAAGTCGAAAATCGAAAATTTAAATATAAAAAAATAAAAAATCTCAAAACTGAAATATCGAAAAATAGAAAAATCGAAGAAAAATTAAAGAACCGAGAAATTGAAAAATCGTAAAATGAAACATCGAAAAATTGACAAATCGAAAAATGAAAAAATCTAGAAATCGAAAGTCGAAAAATCGAAGTCAAAAAATTGAAAAATCGATAAATTGAATAATCCAAAAGTTGAAAAATCAAAGAATCGATAAATTGAAAAAAAAAAATAAAAGCTGAAACATCGACAATTTGAGTAATCGATAAATGATTGATAGATAAATTGAAACATCGAGAACTCGAAAAGTTGAAAAATCGAAGTAAAAAAGTCAGAAAATTGAAAAATCAAAAAACTGAAAAATCGGAAAAGAATTGAAGAATCGATAAATTGAAAAATCGAAAAGTCGAAAATTGAAAAATCAAAAAAATTAAAAACCCCAAAACTGAAATATCGAAAAATTGAGTAATCGACAAATAATCGATAAACTAAAAAATCGAGAAATTGAAAAGTCGAAAAATTGCAAAATCGAGGTCGAAATATAGAAAAATCAAAAAAATGAAAAATCCCAACCTGAAATATCGAAAAATTGAAAAATCGAAGAAAAATGGAAGAATCGAGAAATCCAAAAATCGCAAAATGAAAAACACAAGAAATCAAAAATTTGAAGAATCGAAAAATTGAACAATATCGAAATATCGAAAAATCGGAGTAAAAAAATCAAAAAATTGAAAAAATCGAAGAATCGATAAATTGAAAAATCGAAAAAAAATTGAAAAATCGAAGTCGAAAATTGAAAAATCAAAAAAATTAAAAATCCCAAAATTAAAAAATCGAAAAAATTGAAGAATCGATAAATTGAAAAATCGAAAAGTTGAAAAATTGAAAAATCGAAGTAGAAAATCGAAAATTGAAAAATAAAAAAAATTTAAAATCTCCGAACTGAAATATGGAAAAATTGAAAAATCGGAAAAAATTGAAGAATCGAGAAATTGAAAAATTGAAAAAAAAAATAAAAAATCGAAGTCGAAAATTGAAAAATCAAAAAAATTAAAAATCCCAAAATTGAAAAATCGAAGTAGAAAATCGAAAATTGAAAAATAAAAATTATAAAAATCTCAAAACTGAAATATCGAAAAATTGAAAAATCGGAAAAAAATTGAAGAATCGCGAAATCCAAAAATCCCAAAATGAAAAACACAAGAAATAAAAAATTTGAAGAATCGAAAAATTGAACAATATCGAAATGTCGAAAAATCGGAGTAAAAAAACCAAAAAATTGAAAAAATCGAAGAATCGATAAATTGAAAAATCGAAAAAAAATTGAAAAATCGAAGTCGAAAATTGAAAAATCAAAAAAATTAAAAATCCCAAAATTAAAACATCGAAAAAGTTGAAGAATCAATAAATTGAAAAATCGAAAAGTCGAAAAATTGAAAAATCGAATTAGAAAATCGAAAATTGAAAAATAAAAAAAATTTAAAATCTCAGAACTGAAATTTGGAAAAATTGAAAAATCGGAAAAAATCAAGAATCGAGAAATTGAAAAATCGAAAAAAAATTAAAAAATCCCAAAATTGAAAAATCGAAGTAGAAAATCGAAAAATAAAAAAATTAAAAATCTCAAAACTGAAATATCGAAAAATTGTAAAATCGGAAAAAAATTGAAGAACCCATAAATTGAAAAATCGAAATTTGAAAAATAAAAAAAAATGAAAAATCCCAAAACTGAAATATGCAAAAATTGAATAATCGATAAATAATCGAGAAACTAAAAAAATCGATAAATCGAAAAGTCGAAAAATCGAAGCCCAAAAGTCGTAGAAAAATTGAAAAATCGAAGTCGAAATATCTAAAATTGAAAAATAATCAAAAAAATGAAAAACCCCGAAACTGAAATATCCAAAAATTGACCAATCGATAAATAATTGATAAACTGAAAAATTGAGAAATCGAAATGTCGAAAAAACGAAAAAAAATTGAATTGATAAATTCAACAATCGAAAAATTGAAAAATCCCAACACTAAAATATCAATAAATTGAACAATTGATAAACTGAAAAATCGAGAACACGAAAAGTGGAAAAATCAAAAAATTGAAGAATCGAAGAAAAATTGAAGAATCGATAAATTGAAAAATCGAAAAGTTGAAAAATCGACAAATTGAGTAATCGATAAATAATTGATAATCTGAAAAATCGAAGTCAGAAAATCACAAAATTGAGTAATCGATAAATAATTGATAAACCAAAAAATCGAGAAATCGAAAAGTCAAAAAATTTAAAAATCGAAGTCGAAAACATGAAAAATCCCACTACTAACATATCGACAAATTGATTAATCGATAAATTATCGATAATCTGAAAAATCGAGAAATCGACATGTCGAAAAATCAAAGAATCGATAAATTGAAAAATCCCAACACTAAAATGTCGAAAAATTGAGAATTGAGAACTCAAAAAGTTGAAAAATCAAAAATTGAAAAATCGAAAGTTGAAAAATCAAAAAAATGAAAAATACCAAAACTGAAATATCGAAAAAATGAAAAATTCCAAAACTGCAAAGTCGAAAAATCGGCAAATTGAGTAATCGATAAACAACTGATAAACTGAAAAATCGAGAAATCGAAATGTCGAAAAATGGAAGTCGCAAAATCGAAGAAAAATTGATGAGTCTAGAAATTGAAAAATCGTAAATCGAAAGATCGAAAAAAAATGAAAAAATCGAAAAATAAAAATTTGCAAGAATCGAAAAACTGAAAAGTCCCAACACTGAAATATCGGAAAATTGAAAAATAGAAAATCGAGAAATTGAAAAATCGGAAAACTGAATAATAAAAAAAACTGAACAATCCCAAAACTGAAATATCGAAAAGTTGTTATGAATATACAATTTAGATTTTTTTTAATAATAATAATAATAATAATAAAAGTTTTATTGTAGTCAACGGGAGAACCCCACAAATGAACACAAAAAAAATCCGAAAATATATATGTACCTATAAGTTAAAAACTCAACACGGATACATAAATCACAAGTTCAGGACTATGTTGATTTTTAATCACATTTATTCGACAAAATTGGAAGACGACATCTATTTCTGGAAAGGGGGGACATGAACGAATACACTTTGACGGACAGACAAACAGACGGAAACGGGAGACGCATTGTTTCATGCAAGAGAAGTCACGAAACGTCGAAAAAACAAGAAGCAGCCAGTCGTCCGGTGAACTCCATTACAATACTTCCTTAGTTTACGCCCAGGAAGTAAAAACGTATTGGTATTTTTGACATTTGTTTTTTTTCAATGAACTCATTTCAGCGAGCGAAGCGAGCTATATCACCTTATTTTCAACGTTTTTGGATGTTACTGAGAATTGACAATTTTTTTTTTGACAATCTTAGTGTCCTTAATTCATATTTTTGACACTTATTTAGTAAGAACCACAATATTTTTCAACAACCATCAATTGTTAGAATTTGGGACGTAAAATCATAAATTTTTATTTATATAGAAAAACTCTGAAATTTTTGAGTATAGAATTTCAATTTATTTACAAAGATATCAAAATGAATAATCTTCAAGCAAACTTCTTTCTTTTTTTTTGTAAAAACGTCAAAAAGCATCTCACTAATCATAGACACCCTGTATACAAATTCGTGCCAAATAATTTAAACCACTACCGTTTTTAATTCGTTCCCGCCAATCTCTTTGCTTTCGTCACCATTTCCAACGTCTTCTTTCCTGATGACACTCACATCTTTGTAAATAATGATAACCGGGATGATCGAGACCCAACAGACGACATTTCCGACAATCGCCAACATATTCAAAACAGGAAAATACTGAATAGTATCCTGTACGTAACGCACAACTTCCACGCTCAACTTGATCGTCTGGTAAGTCAACAAAAACGGCTCCAGAATCAAGAAAGTCAAAAGAAGCACCCGACCCTCCTGAAACCGTCTCGTCAAAAAGTTGGAGACACTTGGAGACACGTACCTTGCGCACGCCCACCACCAGCAGAACTCCTAGACCTATCATAATCAAAGCCCCCGATAACTCTTCAACTTCGCCTTGGAACAAAGTACCGACTCCACACAGCTTAAAAAAAACAATCAGACGACGCCAACTTGGCCGAAACACTTACGATATTGTTAAGCGCCAAATTGTACACCAGATTTAAGAGAACGCATCTTTTGTTGACACACTTTGCCATTGCTGCAGACTTGACGGCGATGACCACACAAATGGTGTTCAGAAAAGATTTTAAATTAAAGAGCGCAACCTTTCGATAACCCCCTTATCTAAAAACCGACGAAATCGCTATTTTTGTGTGGAAAAAATTTATATCGTCACTATGCTATACAATTAAAGGCGAACATTTTGTGCGTGCTTTGTTTGATTAGTTTATAACCTCACTTTCGACGATTTTGCCATTTTAGCTGTTCATGGCCGAACTCACGTAGCTCTGTCCCGCGTTGATGATATTTTTTTCGATCACTTGGTCGTGGAACTTGTACACCCCTAACTGACCGCACCAGATGAGCACTAACCCTATCGAGAATCCCACAGCTTTCTCTGCAGGGACCGTTTCTTTCGGCGCCGGGGTTCCCGACACGGGCGCCGGCGTCGTGGTCGTCTCGTTGGCGACGATGTTGTGCGTCATGGCCGTGGTGTTGTAAAAGAGCATGTAACTAACCACCAGCATCGTCACGATGAACCAGATGAGCGAGCTGAGGAGGAGGTACAAAGATATATACTTTTCTTTGTCCTGGAAGTTCAATGTTAGCAGTGAAGAGCGAAAAGAACCTCCACTGACCTGGATTATACCTATTAATAACAGCAGGCTGACGAATAGAAGGAAGGTGGCGATTTGGAAGTAGACCAGGATTAGGCCGATGGTTACTACCTTGGTGGTGAGGTACTCTACGAGGACGAAGATGCCTTCGATGAGGATGTACAAGCCGAGGCACTGGAGGGAAAGAGTTACGTTTGTGTGTGGTGACGGCCTGGGTACTCACTAGGTTGGCGAGGGCCACGGCCATCGAACACAACTTCAGACAACTACAAGAAGCTGTCATTGTTGTTGTTTATGCTGATTGACGCGCCCGTCTAACACGACTGACGAGTATTTTTGGTGGCACGGTTTAGATTTATTTTTAAATCCGGTGCTCCCAACCTAGTTCGCGCGTAGGTGTGTGTGTACAGGAGTCATAATAAAAGTGAGAGGTGGGACGGTGCATCTGATGGGCTATTTCGGTGCATAGAGGCTGAAGGTCGCCTTCGAACATCCAGGAAATCAAGTAGATAGAGATCAAGCGCGATCGATTTCGTACCGGTCTTATTGAAGTTATTTTAAATTTATCAAGAAAAGTTTTAAAAAATTGGTTGAAGGTTATTTCGACAGAAATTCTCGCGTACGTGAAGTGTAGACCAACAAATAGTGCTTCTTTGAAAAATTGTTCGCGATTTTTGTTCCCGCAGCTTTTTTGACTTGAATTTTTAAATTATACATTTAGTAAGTGAATTAGTACTTCCCGAGCGTAAGTGAAGAAAGTATTGTGATCGAACCCATTGGACGAATGGCCACTTTTATGTTTTCTCCGGTTTCCGTCTGTCTGTCTGTCTGTCTGTCGTCTGTATTCATTTTTATTAGATACGTAATCTTCGGAACTACTGCAAATTTACATTTCAAATCTCTTGTCAGCTGGTTTACCTGAATAGTGAGTATTACAATCATACAAATAATTACATCGCATTTGTTGAACATACAGAACAAAGAAGAACAGTAGGATAATAGAAAACAAATTATTCAGTTATGTACATACATCTTATAATAAAATAAAATAACTTAACAACTACTTTGAATGTTAAAAAGTAACATAGTCTTGAACTTGTGGTTTAAGAATTCGGGTTGAATTTTTATCCTCGACATTGAGATTTTTCGGCGTTTCCATTTCTTGCTTTTTCAGTTTTACATTTTTTCAGTTCTACTCCTCTTCAATTTTACGATTTTTAAATATTTTGATTTTCCCATTTCGTGACTTTCCACTGTTTCGATTTTTCAGTTTTCCAATTTTTTAAGGTTTCGATTTTTCGGCTTCACTTTTTTGATTTTTCGATTCAATTTTTCAATTTTTTAATTTCTCAGTTTTTGGATATTTAAGTTTTGAGATTTCTCAGTTTATTTGCTATTCAGGTTTTCGATTTTACAATTTCTCAATTTTACAATTTTTCGATTTCTCAATTTTTCATTTCAGTTCTTGGATATTTCATTTTTTCAAGTTTTCAAAATTTTCAAATATTTGGTTTTCGGGATTTTTAAATTTGACTCTTATAAACCCTCAGTTTTTTGATTTTTCATTCCTTCAGTTCAATTTTTAAATTTTTTAGGTTTTTGATTTTTCAATTTCTTAAGGTTTTGATTTTTCCACTTCACTTTTTTGACTATTTGATTTCTCATTTTTTCAGTTTTTCCATTCTTCAGATTATTTATTTGGATTTTCCAGTTTCTCAATTTTTCAATTTCTCGATTTTCAATTTTCCGAAGTTGCAGTTTTTTGTTTTTTCAATTTTTATCTTCAATTTTACGATTTTTCAATTTTTATCTTCAATTTTACGATTTTTCAATTTTTCAACTTGTGTTTTGAGTTTCATTTTTTTTAACTTTCGACTGCTTTGATTTTTCGATCTTTTTAAAGGTTTCGATTTTTCGACTTCACTTTTTTTTTTAAGATTTCTCAATTTTTAAATTTTTTAGATACTTAGTTTTTTGACGTTTCAGTTTTGGGATTTTTCAGTTTTTCCATTTTTCAGTTTTTCGATATTTCAGTTTTGGGATTTTTCAATATTTCGAATCTTCGACTTTTCGATTTTTGATTTCTGGATTTTTCGATTTTTCACTGTTTCGATTTTTAAATTCTAGATTTTTCCATTTTTTAACATTTTAATTTTTTAATTTTTATAATTCCAGAGTTTTCAATTTCTCGATTTTTCATTTCAGTTCTTCGATATTTCAATTTTTCGAGTTTTCGAATTTTTCAAATGTTTCGATTTCCTAATTTTTTGGGGATTCTTCAGTTTTTTTTTTCACTTTTCAGTTTTGGGATTTTCAAGATTTAGGTTCTTGGACTTTTCGATTTTTGACTTCTGGATTTTGCGATGTGTCGATTTTTTTACTTTTTCAATTTTAAATTTTAGATTTTCAATTTTTTAATATTTTGATTTTTCAATTTTTAAAATTTTAGATTTTTCGATTTACCGATTTTACATTTCAGTTGACTTTATGCTGTTTTTTTCCTGTTCTTCAATTCTTCAATTTTTTGATTTTTGAGATTTTGGATTTTTTTAATTTTCGACTTTTTGTACTCATTTGATTTTAGATTTTTCAATTTTTGAACTTTTTAGATTCTCAGTTTTTGGACATTTCAGTTTTGGGATTTTTCAGTTTTCCATTCTTCGGTTTTTTTTTTCACTTTTCCGTTTTGGGATTTTTCAAGGTTTAGGTTTTTGGATTTTTCGATTTTTGACTTCTGAATTTTGCGATGTGTCGATTTTTTTACTTTTTAAAAATCAATTTTAGATTTCTCAATTTTTTGACATTTTGATTTTTCAATTTTTAAAATTTTCGATTTTTGAATTTGTCGATTTTTCATTTCAGCTGACTTTGGGCTGTTTTTTTCCTGTTCTTCAATTGTTCAATTTTTCGATTTTTGAGGTTTTCGATTTTTTAATTTTTCGATTTTTTAAGGTTTCGATTTTTCGTACTTAACTTATTTGATTTTAGATTTCTCAAATTTTCAATTTTTTAAATACTTAGATTTTTGACATTTCAGTTTTGGGACTTTTCAGTGTTTTCATTCTCCAGTTTTTCGATATTTCAGTTTTGGGATTTTTTAATATTTCGATTTTTAACTTCTGGATTTTTTTCACTTTTTCGATTTTTCAATTTTTTAATATTTTAATATTTCGAGTTTTCGATGTCTCGATTTTTTTTCATTTTAGTACTTCGATATTTCAATTTTTCAAGTTTTCGAATTTTTCAAATGTTTCGATTTCTTAAGGTTTCCGTTTTTCGACTTCCCGGTTTTACATTTCCTGTTTTTCAATTTTTGTTTTTTTCAAATTTTCTCGATTTATAAATTTTTCAATTTATAACTTTTCGATTTTTTTATTTTGGCTTATTTCGGTTTCTCAGTTTTTCGATTTTTCGACTTCATGACTTCGATTTCTCGATCTTTTGACTTTTCGATTTTTCAAAACTTCAACTCTTCGAATTTTTAATTTTTTGATTTCTCGATTTATCAATTTTTCGGCTTTTCGACTTCTCGATTTCTCGATCTTTTAATTTTTCGATTTCTCGGGTTTTCGATGTTTCGTCTTCAATTTTTTGATTTTTTAAATGTAGTTGTGATTTCTCGATTCTTCGTTTACCGGTTTTTCAAATTTTAGATTTTTGAAATTTTCATTTTTTCGTTTTTTTGATGTTTCGATTTTTCGATTTTCAGTTCTTTGATATTTCTGTTTTTCACTGTTTCGATTTTTGACTTTTCGATTTTCAATTTTTAAAATGTTAGAATTTTCGACTTCTCGATTTTTCATTTCAGTTCTTGGATAGTTCAATTTTTCAAGTTTTCAAATTTTTCAAATGTTTCGATTTCTTAATCTTTCCATTTTTCGATTTCCCGGTTTTAGATTTCCTGTTTTCCAATTTTTAGTTTTTCTTTAAATTTTCGATTCGCTTTCCCGACTTGCCGAGATTTGGATGTTTCGATATTTTGATTGTTCAATTTCTCGATTTATGAATTTTTCAATTTACAACTTTTCGATCTTATTATTTTGACCTATTTCGGTTTCCCACTTTTTCCATTTTTCGTTTTTGATTTTTTCGCTTTTAGAATTTTCAACTGCCCATTTTTCAATTTTTAATTTTTCGTTTTTTCGATTTTGGCCTATTTCGGTTTCTCAATTTTTTGATTTTCGACTTCATGACTTCGATTTCTCGATCAATTGACCTTTCGATTTCTCAATATTTCAATTCTTCGAATTTTTAAATTTTTTGATTTCTCGATTTATCAGTTTTTCAATGTTTAACTTTTCGACTTTGGCCTATTTCGGTTTCTCAATTTTTCGGCTTTTCGACTTCTCGATCTTTTGATTTTTCGATCTCTCAAGTTTTCGATTTTTTACTTTTCAGATTTTCTGTTTTTCGATGTTTCGATTTTTAATTTTTCGATATTTTAAATTTAGGAGTTTTGATTTCTCGATTCTTCGTTTATCGGTTTTTCAAATTTTAGATTTTTGAATTTTTCATTTTTTCGTTTTTTTGATGTTTCGATTTTTCGATTTTCAGTTCTTCGATATTTCTGTTTTTCACTGTTTCGATTTTTGACTTTTGGATTTTCAATTTTTAAAATTTTAGAGTTTTCGATTTCTCGAATTTTCATTTTAGTTCTTGGATAGTTCAATTTTTCAAGTTTTCAAATTTTTCAAATGTTTCGATTTCTTAATCTTTCCATTTTGCGACTTCCCGGTCTAAGATTTCCTGTTTTTGAATTTTTAGTTTCTTCAATTTTTCGATTTTTTAATTTTTCATTTTTAAAATTTTTCGATTTTTCAATGTTTTGCTTTCCCGATTTATAGAGATTTGCATGTTTCGATATTTTGATTGTTCAATTTCTCAATTTATGAATTTTTCAATTTATAAATCTTGGATTTTTTATTTTGGCATATTTCAGTTTCTCAGTTTTTCCATTTTTCCGTTTTCAGATTTTTCAATTTCCAATTTTTCAACTTTTAACTTTTCGTTTTTTATATTTTGACCTATTTCGGTTTCTAAATTTTTCGATTTTTTGACTTCTCGATCTTTTGATTTCTCGAGTTTTCGATTTTTTATTTTTCAGATTTTCTGATTTTCGATTTCCCAGTTTTTCGATGTTTCGTTTTCAATTTTTCGATTTTTTAAATTTAGGAGTTTTGATTTCTCCATATTTCAATTTTTCGAGTTTCGGTTTCTCAGTTTTTCCATTTTTTCATTTTTTATTTTTACGTTTATAGATTTTTCAATTTTCAATTTTTCAATTGTTAACTTTTAGTTTTTTCCATGTTGGCCTATTTCGGTTTCTCAATTTTTTTATTTTTCGACTTCGTGACTTCGATTTCTCGATCTTTTGACCTTTCGATTTCTCAATATTTGAATTCTTCGAATTTTTAAATTTTTTTATTTCTCGATTTATCAATTTTTCAATGTTTAACTTTTCGACTTTGGACTATTTCGGTATCTTAATTTTTCGGTTTTTCGACTTCTCGATCTTTTGATTTCTCGAGTTTTCGATTTTTTATTTTTCAGATTTTCAGATTTTCGATTTCCCAGTTTTTCGATGTTTCGTTTTCAATTTTTCGATTTTTTAAATTTAGTAGTTTTGATTTCTCGATATTTCAATTTTTCGAGTTTTCAAATTTTTCAAATGTTTCGACTTCTTAATCTTTCCATTTTGTGACTTCCCGGTCTAAGATTTCCTGTTTTTGAATTTTTAGTTTCTTCAAACTTTCGATTTTTTAATTTTTCATTTTTTAAATTTTTCGATTTTTCCACGTTTCGCTTTCCCGATTTATAGAGATTTGCATGTTTCGATATTTTGATTGTTTAGTTTCTCAATTTATGAATTTTTCAATTTATAAATCTTGAATTTTTTATTTTGGCCTATTTCAGTTTCTTAGTTTTTCCATTTTTCCGTTTTCAGATTTTTCAATTTCCAATTTTTCAACTTTTAACTTTTCGTTTTTTAGATTTTGACCTATTTCGGTTTCTAAATTTTTCGATTTTTTGACTTCATGAGTTCGATTTCTCGATTTTTTGATCTTTCGATTTCTCAATATTTCAATTCTTCGAATTTAAAATTTTTTTTATTTCTTGATTTATCAATTTTTCAATATTTAACTTTTCGATTTTGGCCCATTTCGGTTTCTCAGTTTTTCCATTTTTTCATTTTTTATTTTTACGTTTATAGATTTTTCAATTTTCAATTTTTCAATTGTTAACTTTTAGTTTTTTCCATGTTGGCCTATTTCGGTTTCTCAATTTTTTTATTTTTCGACTTCGTGACTTCGATTTCTCGATCTTTTGACCTTTCGATTTCTCAATATTTGAATTCTTCGAATTTTTAAATTTTTTGATTTCTCGATTTATCAATTTTTCAATGTTTAACTTTTCGACTTTGGCCTATTTCGGTATCTCAATTTTTCGGTTTTTCGACTTCTCAATCTTTTGATTTCTCGAGTTTTCGATTTTTTATTTTTCGGATTATCTGATTTTCGATTTCCCAGTTTTTCAATGTTTCGTTTTCAATTTTTCGATTTTTTAAATTTAGGAGTTTTGATTTCTCGATATTCAATTTTTCGAGTTTTAAAATTTTTCAGATGTTTTAACTTCTTAATCTTTCCATTTTGCGAATTCCTGGTCTAAGATTTCCTGTTTTTGAATTTTTAGTTTCTTAAAATATTCGATTTTTTTTTTAATTTTTCGATTTTTCAATGTTTCGCTTTCCCGATTTATAGAGATTTGCATGTTTCGATATTTTGATTGCTCAATTTCTCAATTTATGAATTTTTCAATTTATAAATCTTGGATTTTTTATTTTGACTTATTTCAGTTTCTCAGTTTTTCCATTTTTCCGTTTTCAGATTTTTCTATTTCCAATTTTTCAACTTTTAACTTTTCGTTTTTTCGATTTTGGCCTATTTCGGTTTCTAAATTTTTCGATTTTTCGACTTCATGACTTTGATGTCTTGATCTTTTGAGCTTTCGATTTCTCAATACATATTTCAATTCTTCGAATTTTTAAATTTTTTGATTTTTCGATTTATCAACTTTTCAATTTTTAACTTTTCCATTTTGGCCTATTTCTTTTGATTTTTCGATTTCTAGGGTTTGGATTTTTTACTTTTCGGATTTTCTGTTCGATATTCCAGTTTTTCGATTATTCGATTTTAAATTTTTCGATTTTTTAAATTTAGGAATTTTACAAAGAAGCGGAATTTGTTGGATTGTACTTCAGGCGAGGAAAGTTCTGTCGCACTAAACTTGGACCAATTTTTTTGCTTTAAATTTAAAGGGCTTACATGTACTGAACAGACGCATCTATTTTTAAGACAGGAAGAGATTGTTTCAACAAAATGGTGCGCCGCCACACTGTACCTGGAACGTGAGAAAAGTTTTACAAAGTCAGTGAGCATGGCATAATCAAACTTGAAAATTTATTGTATCAACAACATTCAAAATCTCGCGCGTTCGAAGTCCATGAACTGGTTCTTCGCATTGAACCATGTTTTCCCCGCTCCCACCAGTTCCCAGAAAGCGCTGTTGTGCGATGTGTCGTAGTTGGGCAAACCAGCGGAAATCCCAAAAGAAATCGCGAACACTGTGTGTGTGGCAGCGAGTTCTGCTGGCGCTAGTCTGTGAGTGCGACGTTTCGGAACCCGAAACAAGATGACCACTTCAGAGAAGAACCCTCTCATCGGGGTCCGAATTGCCACCGATTACAGAGCAATCGGTCACATTGTGAGTACTTTATTTCGCTGCGACGCAGTGCGTTAATTGTCAATTTCAGGTGGAAGGTCTACTACTCCTCCTGTTCATGACCTTCACGTTCGCCACCTATGGTCTACACACGTCCTTCGTTCTACTTTCAGTCCTCGGTGTTTTTGAGGTTGTTCGAGGATCCTTGTTACTGCGAGACATAATCAACGTGAGTAAATTAACAAACCCTGGTTTTTTTTTACAATCACGGCATTTTCAGGACAACCAAAAAGGCCTATATGGGTATCTAGCGCTCAGTTTCATAAATTTTATTCTGAGGCACGGATATGGAAACTCGAGCGACGTACGTCACTGGTTCGGGAGTAACTCGGGACGGAGCTTCGACTCTATTTACTTTTTCGTTCAGTTGTTCCTTTTCTTCTATGAAGGAATCCTGTTTTGCTACGTCGTCAGATTTTATGGGAACATTGAGGTGTTTCGCAACGAAAAAAAAGGAAATGATAATGTCAACGTATGGATACGGATTTTCACCCACTATCGAGCTGTTGCCCATGCGGTAAGTGTTTGTCGACTGGTTGCGCGCGCATCTGCGTCAGCTGTTTCACGCCGTTTTTACACCACTAAAATTCGCTTCTCGTATCCGATTGGTGGATAAAATTAATAGGACTAATCACGACTGTTTGTAGGTGGAAGGACTCATACTGTGTTCGCTCATAGTCGCTTCCGTAGGGCAACTTTTTATTGTATATGGTATTTTTGAGGCCGCCAAAGGGACTTTGTTACTCAAAGGAATCAAAAAGGTTCGTGTTAATTATATTATAATTTATATTGTTACATTACCACTCTTTTACAGGAGAGCGTCATTCTCATTCGGATATATTCAGTGCTACATTTCTCCATGCTGTGCATTAAAATAGCGCTCGGAATATTTGCGGCTGCAGTATTGTTTGTGTCCGACCCTGTCTTCTTTATTACTGTTAAACTAGCAGTTTTATATCTCACGTACGAGTGGTTTTTCTTTTTCTGTGTCTACAAGTATATACGGACTCTGATTAGGCGTCGACAGAGTAAACAAGGAAGCGAAGGGGGGATCCCCTATGAAAAGCTCGGTGAGTTCATGGGGATCGAGCGTGAAAAAAATGGAGTCGAGAAATCCGGTGAATATTTGGGGGTGCAGTGTGAACAAAGTCAAGCAGATGAACCCAGTGCACATTTGGACGCGAAGTGTGAGAAAAGTGCCGTGGAAAAACTCACCCAATATTTGGAAGCGCAGAATGAGGAAAAGGGAGCGGAAAAAGTCATCCCGAATGTGGAGATGCATATTTAAGTGATAATTTTGTTAAACTAAACTTTGTATTGTATTTTTTATATTAAAATGCTTATGCTTGTTTGTATGTTTTTTGTTTGGTCCAAAGTTTTTAATGGGGTTTCAAAATTTTGGGGAACCATGGCAGAACATTAGATTCGTTTAGAAACAGGTCATAATTTTCCAAAAATAGAACACCAAAGCCCCCCAAAATTACAACGTCTACAAACCCACTGGACATGGCAAAATAGTAATTTTCAAGATTTAAAAAATTGGAAATTTGTGTCATAATTATCAAAACTAATTTTTTTATTTCGCTCCATTTGTATAAATTGTATCAAAACTTACTTCCATAGATGTTGTGTCCCAATCATGACCCATTTAGAGGTTTTGTTTACATGGTTATCATGGAAACCGTGCGTCCAGGCGCTGTATTTGTCTGCTCAAACATTGACCACTAGCATTTTCATTCTGCGCGAGTGAAATTGTTTTATTTTAAATTAAAGTAATGAATTCCGTCCAATATTTAATAAAAAATCGTCCTCTGTCTTACGACGGTAAATTTTAAGTTTTTCGATTTTCCAGCTTTCAATTTTTAGATTTTGCAATTTTTTGATTTGCAGTTTCAAGAGTTTTCAATTTTTCATGTCTTCTATTTTTCGATTTGTAAATTTTCGTTTCGGTCTTTTGTTTACTTTATTTTTTCATTTTTTCGCTTTTTCGATGTTCTGATTGTATAATTTTTTTTTCAATGTGAAATTTTTTATTTGTACCTTTTAGATTTTTTAATTTTTCGTTTCTTCAATTTCTGATTTGGAATTTTTCTGGTTTTCATTTTAAATGTGTAATAATTATTATTATTTTTAAAGTTTTTTTTCAATTTTACGATTTTAGAGTTTCTCGAGTTTTCAATTTTTCGATTTTCCCATGTTTTAGCTTTCAAATTTTTCGGTTCGATTTGTTTCTTCTTATTTCCAAGTTTTTGATTTATTAATTGTTTTCGATTTTCAGCTTTTCAATGTTTCAGTTTTATGTTTCTTCAGTTTTTCGATTTTCTACTTTTTCGATTTTGCAATTTTTCTTTTTTTCAATTTTTCGGTTTTTCCATATTTCCCGATTTTTCAGTTTATCGATTTTTAACTTTTCGAATAAAAAAATATGTAAAGCTGAAAAATCGAAAATGAAAAAACGTAAAGGTATAAAATGAAAACTTTGGAAAATCTAAAAATTGAATAAACGAAAAATCATAAAATCCAAAGAAACCTTGAAAAAATAAAAGTACATGAGAAAACGAAAAATTGTGATAAAAATCGAGAAAATGAAAATAAAAAAATCAGGAAAATCAAAAATAAAAATGAAAAACTTGAAAAATTGGGAAAACGAAAAATTGAAAAAACGAAATATTAATAATATAACATTAACAAAAAAAATTATAAAAAATAACTTTCCTAGTTTTAAAATAATTAAATTAATTTCCTAAAAATTAAAGAAATCAGTAAATCGGATAACTGGAACTCCAAAAATAACAAAATTGAAAAATTTTAAAATTCGAAAATTGAGGACTAGAAATTTGAATTTTTCGTTTTTTCAATTTTATATTTTTGAGTTTCATGATTTTTCAATGTTTCATTTTTTCAAATTTTGATTTACAGTTTGCATAGTTTTCTAAGTATATAATAATTACTATATTCGATTTATAAGTTTCTCGACTTTTAGTTTCTCCATGTTTCAATTTTTCGGTTTTTCAATGTTCTGATTGTATAATTTTTCTTTTTTTCAATGTGAAATTTTTCATTTTTTGAATTTTTCAATTTTGCGATTTGCAATTATTCGGTTTACAAATTTTCGATTTTTTACCTTTTAGATTTTTTCATTTTAAATGTGCAATCATTATTATAATTTTTAAAGTTTTTACTTTTCAATTTTACGATTTTAGAATTTCTCCAGCTTTCAATTTTTCGATTTTCCAATGTTAGTTTTAGTTTTCCAATTTTTCGATTCGATCCGTTTCTTCTTATTTCCAAGTTTTTGTTTTATTAGTTGTTTTCGATTTTTAACTTTATCGATTTTCAGTTTTTCAATATTTCAGTTTTTCGTTTCTTCAGTTTTTCGATTTGAAATTTTTCGATTTTCCACTTTTTTGATTTTGCAATTTTTCGGTTTTTCTGTTTTTTTCCGATTTTTAATTTTTCAAATAAAAAAATTTGTAAAGCTGAAAAATCGAAAATGTAAAAACGTAAAAGTATAAAATGAAAACTCTAAAAATTGAATAACGGAAAAATCATAAAATCGAAAGAAACATTGAAAAAATAAAGTACATGAAAAAACGAAAAATTGTGATCTAAAATCGAGAAAATAAAAATAAAAAAATCAGGAAAATCAAATATAAAAATGAAGAACTTGAAAAATTGGGAAAACGAAAAATCGAAAAAACAAAATATTAATAATATAACATTAACAAATGACAAAAAAAAATAACTCCTAATTTTAAAATAATTAAATTAATTTCCTAAAAATTAAAGAAATCGGTAAATCGGATAATTGGAACTCCAAAAAAAATAAAATTGAAAAATTTTAAAATTGGAAAATTGAGGACTAGAAATTGGGATTTTTGGTTTTTTTGAATTTTATATTTTTGAGTTTCATGATTTTTTTTTTCGATTTTACAATTTTTAGATTTCCCAATTTTTCCGTCCGTTTTTTCTTTTGCGCTATTTTTGGATTTATAAGATTCTCGACTTTTAGTTTTTCCATGTTTCAATTATTCGTACCTTCAGATCTTTTTTTTCTTCAATTTTACAACATGCAACTCTTCGAGCTTCCGTTTTAAAATTTTTAGTTTTTCGATTTTCCAACATTCAATTTTTTGATTTGTTGTTTCAAGAGTTTTCAATTTTTCGATTTGTAAATTTTCGTTTCGGTCTTTTGTTTACTTTATTTTTTTCAGTTTTTCGGTTTTTCAATGTTCTGATTGTATAATTTTTTTTTTCAATGTGAAATTTTTAATTTTTTGGATTTTTCAATTTTTCCATTTGCAATTATTCGGTTTTCCAATTTTCAATTTTTGACCCTTTCGATTTTTTAATTTTTCGTTTTTTCAATTTCTGATTTGGAATTTTTCTGGTTTTCACTTTAAATGTGTAATAATTAGGTATTACAATTTTTAAAGTTTTTTGTTTTTTCAATTTTACGATTTAAGAATTTCTGGAGTTTTTAAATTTTCGATCTCCCAATGTTTTAGTTTTTCAATTTTTCGATTCGATTCGTTTCTTTATTTCCAAGTTTTTGATTTATTAATTGTTTTCGGTTTTTGACTTTATCGATTTTCAGTTTTTCGTTTCTTCAGTTCTTCGATTTGAAATTTTTCGATTTTACAATTTTTCGGATTTTCCACATTTTCAGATTTTTCAGTTTTTCGATTTTTAATTTTTCGAATAAAAAAATTTGTAAAGCTGAAAAATCTAAAATGAAAAAACGTAAAAGTATAAAATGAAAACTTCGAAAAATCTAAAAGCTGAATAAACGAAATATCATAAAATCGAAAGAAACATTGAAAAAATAAAGTACATGAAAAAACGAAAAATTGTGATATAAAATCGAGAAAATGAAAATAAAAAAATCAGGAAAATCAAAAATAAAAATGAAGAACTTGAAAAATTGGGGAAACGAAAAATTGAAAAAACGAATAATTAATAATATACATTAACTAACAATAACAAGAAAAAAATAATAAAAACTTATTTTCCTAATATTAAAATAATTAAATTGATTTCCTAAAAATGAAAGAGATCGGCAAATCGGATAATTGGAACTCCAAAAATTACAAAATTGAAAAATTTTAAAATTGGAAAATTGGGGACTAGAAATTTGAATTTTTCGTTTTTCAATTTTTCATTTTTTCAAATTTTCATTTGCAGTTTGTATATTTTTTTCTAAGTATACAATAATTACTTTATAGTAATGCTAAAATTATTTTTAGCATTTTTTGATTTTTCAATTTTTCGATTTTAGAATTTTTCCATTTTTCAGATATTGGCTTTCAAAGTTTTTCACTTATTTGATTTATTCAAATTTTTCAATTTTTAATTTTTCCATATTTACTTTACAATTTTTAGATTTTCCAATTTTTCCGTCCGTTTTTCTTCTGTGCTATTTTTCGATTCATTACTTTTATTCGATTTATAAGTTTCTCGACTTTTAGTTTTTCCTGTTTCAATTTTTTGTTTCGCAATTTTTCTAATTTTCATTTTTTTTCTGCAATTTTACGACATGCAACTCTTCGAATTTCCGTTTTCAAATTTTTAGTTTTTCGATTTTCCAACTTTCAATTTTGCAATTTTTTGATTTGCAGTTTCAAGATTTTTAAATTTTTCATGTCTTCTAATTTTCAATTTGTAAATTTTCGTTTCGGTCTTTTGTTTACTGTATTTTTTTCAGTTTTTTGGTTTTTCAATGTTCTGATTGTATAATTTTTCTTTTTTCAATGTGAAATTTTTCATTTTTTGAATTTTTCAATTTCTCGATTTGCAATAATTCGGTTTACAGATTTTCGATTTTTTAACCTTTACATTTTTTAATTTTTCGTTTCTTCAATTTCTGATTTGGAATTTTTCTGGTTTTCATTTTAAATGCGTAATAATTATTATGAATTTTAAAGTTTTTTACTTTTTCAATTTGACGATTGTAGAATTTCTCGAGTTTTCAATTTTAGCTATTTTATTTTTTAATTTCTCGAAGTTTGGTTTTTCAAATTTTCGATCTTCCAAGTCTTTGATTTATTAATTGTTTTCGATTTTTAACTTCATCGATTTTCAGTCTTTTGATTTTTAACTTTTCGAGTAAAAAAAAATTGTAAAGTTGAAAAATCGAAAATGAAAAAACGTAAAGTATTAAATGAAAACTTTGAAAAATCTAAAAATTGGAAATCAAAAAGTTGAAAAATTGAAGAAACTTAAAAATCTAAAGATTAACAACTGAGAAACTTTGAAATCGAAAAGTGCAAAATCAAAAAACTGAAATATATATTGTAAATTCGAAACATTGAAAATTAAAGAAATCGGAAAATCGAATAATTGGGAAACCAAAAATTGCAAATTTGAAAAATTTAAAAATTGGAAAATCGAAGAATGGAAAAATCAAAGATTGAAAATTAAAAAATTGAATAAACGAAAAATTGTGATAAAATCGAGAATGAGAAATTGGAAAAACGAAATATATATTGTAAAAATCGGTTTTCAAATTTTCGATTTTTTACCTTTTAGATTTTTTAATTTTTGTTTTTTCAATTTCTGATTTGGAATTTTTCTGGTTTTCATTTTAAATCTGCAATAATTATAATAATTTTTAAAGTTTTTTACTTTTCAATTTTACGATTTTAAAATTTCTCCAGTTTTCAATTTTTCGATTTTCAAATGTTAGTTTTAGTTTTCCAATTTTTCGATTCGATTCGTTTCTTCTTATTTCCAAGTTTTTGTTTTATTAATTGTTTTCGATTTTTAACTTTATCGATTTTCAGTTTTTCAATGTTTCAGTTTTTCGTTTGTTCAGTTCTTCGATTTGAAATTTTTCGATTTTCCACTTTATTGATTTTGCAATTTTTTGGTTTTTCTGTTTTTTCCGATTTTTAATTTTTCGAATAAAAAAATTAGTAAAGCTGAAAAATCGAAAATGTAAAAACGTAAAAGAATAAAATGAAAACTCTAAAAATTGAATAACGGAAAAATCATAAAATTGAAAGAAACATTGAAAAAATAAAGTACATGAAAAAACGAAAAATTGTGATATAAAATCGAGAAAATAAAAATAAAAAAGTCAGGAAAATCAAATATAAAAATGAAGAACTTGAAAAATTGGGAAAACGAAAAATCGAAAAAACGAAATATTAATAATACAACATTTACTAATGACAAAAAAAAATAATAACTTTGTATATTGTATAATTTTTCTTTTTTTTCAATCTGTAATGTAATTTTTCAGTTTTTGAATTTTTCAATTTTTCGATTTGCAATTATTCGGTTTTCAAATTTTCGATTTTTTACCTTTTAAATTTTTAAAATTTTCCTTTTTTCAATTTCTGATTTGGAATTTTTCTGGTTTTCATTTTTTTTTTCAATTTTACGATTTTAGAATTTCTGGAGTTTTCAAATTTTCGATCTTCCCATATTTTAGTTTTCCAATTTTTCGATTCGATTCGTTTCTTCTTATTTCGAAGTTTTTGATTTTTAATTTTATCGATTTTCGTTTCTTCAGTTCTTCGATTTTTAATTTTTCGAATAAAAAAATTTGTAAAATTGAGAAATCGAAAATGTAAAAACGTAAAAGTATAAAATGAAAACTTTGAAAAATCCAAAAACTGAATAAACGAAAAATCATAAAATCGAAAAAAACAGAAAAAAAAAATACATGAAAAAACGAAAAATTGTGATATAAAATCGTGATAATGAAACTAAAAAGAATCAGGAAAATAAAAAATTAAAATGAAGAACTTGAAAAATTGGGGAAACGAAAAATTGAAAAAACGAAACTTATATGTATATTGTAAAATCGAAATATTAATAATATAACAATTAACTAATAACAAGAAAAAATAATAAAAAATAATTTGCGTAATATTAAAATAATTAAGTTAATCTCCTAAAAATTTAAGAAATCGGTATATCGGATAATAATTGGAACTCCAAAAATTACAAAATTGAAAAATTTTAAAATTGGAAAATTGAGGAACAGAAATTTGAATTTTTCTTTTTATTTTTAGAATTTTTCCATTTTTCAATTATTGTCTTTCAATGTTTTTTCACTTACTTGATTTTCAAATTTTTCAATTTTTAATTTTTCCATATTTACTTTTTCAGTGGTACACTTTTTCGATTTACAATTTTTAGATTTTCCAATTTTTCCGTCCGTTTTTTCTTCTGTGCAATTTTTCGATTTATTACTTTTATTCGATTTATAAGTTACTTGACTTTTAGTTTTTCCTTGATTCAACTTTTCGTTTCTTCAGAGTTTTGTTTCTTCAATTTTGTGATTCGCAATTCTTCAATTTTTCATTTTTTTGTTTCTTCAATTTTACGACATGCAACTCTTCTAACTTCCGTTTTTGAATTTTTAGTTTTTCAATTTTCCAACATTCAATTTTAAGATTTTGCAATTTTTTGATTTGTAGTTTCAAGAGTTTTCAATTTTTCATGTCTTTTATTTTTCGATTTGTAAATTTTCGTTTCGGTCTTTTGTTTACTTTATTTTTTCAATTTTTCGGTTTTTCAATGTTTTGATTGTATAATTTTTTTTCAATGTGAAATTTTTAATTTTTCGATTTTGCAAAGTTTCGGATTTTCCATATTTTCCGATTTTTTCGAATAATAAAATTTGTAAAGCTGAAAAATCGAAAACGAAAAAACAAAAGTATAAAATGAAAACTTTGGAAAATTGGTTTTTCTATGTTTCAATTTTTCGTTTCTTCAGATCTTTGTTTCTTCAATTTTACGTTTATAAATTGTTAGTTTTTCGATTTTCTAACTTTCAATTTTTAAATTTTACAATTTTTTGATTTGTAGTTTCAAGAGTTTTCAATTTTTCATGTCTTCTATTTTTCGATTTGTAAATTTTCGTTTAAGTCTTTTGTTTACTGTTTTTTCAATTTTTAGGATTTTTCAAATTTGCGATTCGCAATTATTCGGTTTTCAAATTTTCGATTTTTTACGTTTTAGATTTTTAATTTTTCGTTTCTTCAATTTCTGGTTGTCATTTTAAATGTGTAATATAGTGAACCAAGAGTTATAAGGTTATATGGCCATCATAAAATCATCCCATTGTGTCGAAGTTAAGTTGTTTACAATAGAAAAGGTTTTAGGGTCGTAAATAACGTGTCCACTGCAGCTCGACCGGCTCGTGTGGTTTCGTTCAGAGGCGGCTTTCACTAAATATGAAAATCCACCACTCCACTATTTCTTTACTACCTGCAGCCGCTGAGGGTTCCGAAATAATCACTCGCTTTGAAAGCCGGCCCTGTTAAATATGAGCAAGAAATGTTTAGAAGATGATTTATTGCCAACCGGTAAGCTTAGTGCGAACCACACAAAGCGGGTATTTATTTGCGGTCAACTACTTTTATGATGGCCATATAACCTTATAGGTCTTGGTTCACTATAATTATTATAATTTTTAAAATTTTTACTTTTTCAAATTTTCGATCTTCCAATGTTTTAGTTTTTCAATTTTACGATTCGATTCCTTTCTTATTTCCAAGTTTTTGATTTATTAATTGTTTTAGATTTTTAACTTTATCGATTTTCAGTCTTTGTATGTTTCAGTTTTTCGATTTTTAACTTTTCGAATAAAAAAATTTTGTAAAGTTGAAAAATCAAAAATCAAAAAACGTAAAACTATAAAATGAAAAGTTTGAAAAATCTAAAAATTGGAAATCAAGAAGTTGAAAAATTGACGAATCTTAAAACTCAAAAATCTAAAGATTAAAAACTGAGAAACTTTGAAATCGAAAAGTGCAAAATCAAATAATTGGAAACCTAAAAATGCAAGCTTGAAAAATTTTAACATTTGAAAATCGAGGAATGGAAAAATCAAGGAATGCAATTTCAAAAATTGAATAAACGAAAAACCATAAAATCGAAAGAAACATTGAAAAAATAAACTGCATAAAAAAACGAAAATTTGTGATATAAAATCGAGAAAATGAAGAACTTGAAAAATTGGGGAAACGAAAAATTGAAAGAACGAAATATATATTGTAAAATTGAAACATTAACAATATAATATCAACTGATAACAAGAAAAAAATTATAAAAAAATAATCCAAAAATTTTAAAATTGGAAAATTTGAGAATAAAAAAATTGAAGATTGAAAATTTGAAAAATTGAATAAGTGAAAAATTGTGATATAAAAGCGAGAAAATGAAAAATAAATAAACAGAATTTTTTGAAATGAGGTCATCAAATTGTTGGTGGGGATGTGTGCATATAAGTAAGCTCGTGATGTTTCCAAATTTTGATCATTTTTTGCAAAAGTTAGTCATCAGTACTTGCTAAGATAAAACTGACTTTAGCAAATGGCATACTCTCTAAGAAAAGAAAGGGTGGGTGGGCGGGACTAGTACCTGTTAAGACTGATTTTAGCAAATGAGATACCCTCTAAGAAATGAGAGGGTGGGTGGGCGGGGCTACAGATGGAAATCCTTCGTCGCTGAAGCACAATGGAACAATCCTTTTCTTGAACGATTTATAAAATCACAAAGTACAGGTCCAGGAAAACCCTATTGAACCAATTGAGGCTACAAGACTCACGTTGTCTAACCAATAACCACACCACGCCCGTTGCTCACCAACCCACCCACCAAATTCGAAATTTCCCTCCGCACTCGCCAGCGTCGGCGGGAAATCCCACCGTCACCTTACCCCAATTTCCCCTTTCCTGGCACGCACTCAAGCCAAATCACCCACATGTGGCATCGCGACATCGCAAAGTAAAAATAAACCAGTGCGTCCGCAACAACTCTTGACAAGTCACGAAGTGCGTCGATGGCTCGCAGTTGCTCGGACATGAAACCGGGAGCTTTCTTCGCCGCCGCCTTCAACCTCGTAAGTACCCAAAACGCCAGTTTTTGCGAATAACCGCACATTTGCAGCTGGTGGGGGGCCTGACCTTGGGGGGCGCCATTTACAAAGTCGCCATCAACAAAAATGGACGAATGGGCCTTCTGGTCATAATGTTCCTGCTGAGCTTGCTGCTCATACACAACGGGGTGCTGCTCATCGTCGGGATCGTTATGGTAAGTGGACGTGCGTGATCGCGATTGTGCTAATTTGGGAGTTTTAGGTCAATCGGGAGTACGTCGTTTTGTATTTGGTGCTGAACTGTGTGAACTGGTTGGTGGGGACTTTTGTCGTGGTGAAGGAGATGTCCGGGAAAATGGGGATTTTGAGCTATATAGGGTTTTCGATTTTGTTAGTGGTGGCTTGGTGTGCGGAAGTTGTGGTTTATTTGTTTTATAGAAAAATGAGTAGGCGCGAATTTGCGCATGTGGAAATTGTGGTGGAAGAGAAGGCGATTAGTAGTAGTAGTAGCTAGGGGCGAGATTTTTGTATTTTTTTATTGTATTGACGACCTTGTATATAAATGTTGCAGAAAATGTGAACGGAGTAGAACAAACTAATTTTGTATTAGACTTTTAAATTATAGAAATACTTAGTAATAAAAATTCTTTTCTACATGATGAAAATAGTAGAAAACTACACCAGGAATAACCATCTTCTCATCCCGCACAGAGGTGGCGCACGGTCCTTGGATTAATAAATTCATTTAGACCACATCATGAGAAAACTTGAACGCTTCTTCAAAAAAAAAACAGAGTGCCTAAAACAGTGGGAGCATTTTAACGTTAAGCTCGCACTTATCCCTTCCCGAAAGCCGATGACGTCACTCACAAATCATCACGCATCTTCATCGCTCTGCGAGCTTGTGTTTCACAGATTACGTGCCGTCGCCGCTTCCTACGTATCTTATAAACATACGAACATAAATAAGTTAAAAAAAATATACGTCCACTGAACATATCAGACTGAGTTGAGAGCTTGTACGCACAACACCGCAAAATGAGAAAAAACAACTGCTGTGTTAATTTCTGTGTCGGTATGGTGATTTTCCTGGATATAGTAAGTGCGACTTTCAAATATATTCAACCAATACAATACATATTTTTAAGGTTGGTGGTCTGGTGAAATTTATCGAAACATTAATTAACGCCACGAAAATGGAGGGTGGAGAAATCGCCGTTCAGTTAGTCGCTAGTTTCATACTACTCGTCAGCGGAATCTTCTTACTAATCGGTGCAATAAAGGTAAGAGTCGTCTACGCCCGGCGTGGTCCTCAAATTTTTTTTTTTTAGCGCAAACCAAAATTCGTTTACGCCCATATCGTTATCATGGTTACTTGTCTGATTCTAGCCGTGATCGGTTTCGTGATCATGATCTTTATTCTGGCGTCCAGCCCAAATGGAGCCGTTTTAATGCTTATCCTAGCAGGGGTATATATTTTGCGGGCTGGTTTAGAATACACTGTGTATATGTTTTATAAAAACATGAAACATGAACTGGTCGACGTGTCCAAAGTTTAAAAATTCAAAGTTCTCACTTAAGTCTGTAAAAGTCTCAGTGTGTAAGTTAACATTGTCGCTAACTAATACAGTTCTGACACAGATTTTGAGTTTCTTTTAAATCCAGTACCAATTTTTTTTATGAAGATTGGATTAATTCATTTATCATTTCGTGCAATACTATAATCTTAAGTAAATATTTAATATCGCTAATGTAAATATTTCAAGCTATGGAAGCATCGCTCCCACATTCCTGATCTCGATTTTTCCTCGAGCACCTTGGAAATTTAGCCAAAGAGATTTTTTGTTGATTTTAATTTTCTGAAGTTTTTCACGGCTTCAGTCGTACGAAATAAAATAAGTCCAGAATCGCCACAATGAAATTTAACAATTTTTGAGATATTTTGAAAATTTGAATTTGAATTCGAATATTTCGAAAACTAATTGTCATATCTAATTGGGATTATTTTCTCTAATGGAGGCATTGTTTCTGCGTAAACACGATTTTTTTCATAATTTTCGCGCTTGTCAAAAATGTCAAAATCGTATAATGTTGAGAAATCAAAAAATCCAAAATTTAAAAATTGAGAAATTAGAAATGGAAATACTGAGAAATCCTCCACTCTGTAACCTTCATTTAAATCAAATTAAATTAAATTAAATTAAAATAAAAACATTGCAAAATCGTAAAACTGAAAATTTGAAAAATCGATAAATTGAAAAATTGAGAAATTGCGAAATCAAGTATTGAAAAACTGAAAATTTGGTAAAAATGGGAATGTTGGGAAATTGAAAACATCCAAAATTAAAACATCTAAAACCGAGCTTGAAAACCAAAACTGAAAAATCGATAAAAATAAAAAAATCGGATATTCTAAAAGGGAAAATCAATCGAAGTTTAAAATTAGGGCATTAAAGATGGGAACATTGAGAAATTGGAAATTTTGAAAAAATGGAGTCTTTTTTCAATGTGAAATTTTTAGATTTTTCAAATTTTCGGTTTTGAATTTTTCGATTTTTCTTCTAGTTTTCATTTCAAATAAAAAATAACAATGGTAATTTAAAAAAAAACACTTTTTCAATATTCTGGTTTTGCACTTTTTCGCTTTCGAGTTTTTTCTTACAAATTTTTCGATGCATTAGTTTTTTTATTTTTAAGTTTCTCGTTTTTAGTTTTCTAGTTCAATTTTTCGTTTTTCCAGTTCTTCGACTTTCCACTTTTTCGGTTTTGCTTAATTTTTTCAGTTTTTCGATTTTATAATTTTTTCCGACATCTTAGTTTTTCGTTTTTTCAATTTTTCCACATTTCTAACCAAAAAAATTGAAAAATCTAAAAATTAGAAACCGAGTACTTGAAAAATTGAAGAAACGAAACATTGACAAATTGATAAATTAAAAAATCGAAGAATCGAAAAATGGAATGTGAAAATTAAAAACTGAGGCATTAAAAATGGGAATATTGAAAAACTGAAAATTTTGAAGAAACGGGTAGTTGTAAAATCGGAAAATTGAAAAAATGAAAAATTTTAAAACCGAAAACTTAAAAATAAAAACTGAAAAAGACTTTAATTTGAATAATCCACAAATTGACAAATTGATAAAGTAAAAAAATTGGAAAACCGAAAAATCGAGTAGTTGAAAAATTAATACTTGAGAAATTAAAAAATGGAATATTCTAAACTGGAAAATCGAAAAATTGAGAAATCGAGAAACTGAAACATGGAAAAATAGTAAAATTGAGAAATCGAAAAATTAAAATTTGAGAAATTAGAAGTGGAAATATTGAGAAATCAGAAAACGCAATGTTGTAAAATTCGAAATCAAGTATGTATTGAAAAATAAAAAAATTTGGATAATTGAAAAATCAAAAATTGAAACATCGAAAAATTTGAAAAAACTGAAAGTTGTAAAAACCTGTAATTGGAAATGAAAAAATTCAAAAAATGAAAAATTTGGAAAGTCTTGAAATCAAAAGAAGTCATAAAATTGAAGAAACCAAAAATTGACAAATCGATAAATTAAAAAAACGAATATTCCAAAGTAGAAAAAAAAATGAGAAATTGAAAAATCAAATATTGGAAAACTCAAAAATTGGGTAAACTGTGAAACTGAGAAGTCGAAAAAATCGTAAAATTAAAAAGTAACAAATTCAAAAATTGAGAAACCAACAATGGGAATATTGAGAAATCAAAAAATTGAAAAATCGAAATCAAGTAAGGATGTATTGAAAAACTGAAAATTTGGGGAATTGAAATCAATAATTGAATTGAATCAATAATTGACACATCGAAAAATTAGAAAATTAATATTGGGAAACAGAAAATTTTGAAAAAACGAATAATTGTAAAATCGTAAAATTGGAAAAATGAAAAATTAAATACTCTAAAACCAAAAATTTGAAAATCTAAACTGAAAAGTCTAATAATTGAAAAATCCAGAATTTGAATAAATCGATAAATTCGATAAATTAAAAAATCGAAGAATTGAAAAATTGAATAGTTGAAAGATTAATAGTCGAGAAATCAAAAAATTGAAAATTCCAAAGTGGAAAATCCCAGAATTCATAAATCAAGAAATTGAAAAATCGTGAACTTGAAAAATCAAGTATTCGCAAACTGAAAATTTGGGTAAACTGTAAAATTGAGAAATCGAAAAATCGGAAAATTAGAAATTGAGATCGAAAAAAATAAAAATCGGCAAATCCAAAAATCGAAAAATTAAACCCACACATGGGAAATCAAAAAATTGAAAAATCGTAAAATCGGAAAATTTGAATTGAAAAACTGAAAATTTGGGGAATTGGAAAATCAATAATTGACACATCGAAAAATTAGAAAATTAATATTTGAGGTAATAAAAATGGGGATATTGAGAAACTGAAAATTTTGAAAAAACGAATAGTTGTAAAATTGGAAATAGAAAAATTGAAAAAATGAAAAATTAAATACTCTAAAACCAAAAATTTGAAAATCTAAACTGAAAGCTCTAATAATTGAAAAATCCAGAATTTGAATAAATCGATAAATTAAAAAATCGAAGAATTGAAAAATTGAATAGTTGAAAGATTAATAGTCGAGAAATCAAAAATCGAAAATTCCAAAGTGGAAAATCGCAAAATTCATAAATCAAGAAATTGAAAAATCGTGAACTTGAAAAATCAAGTATTGGCAAAGTGTGTATTCTTATCGCTGTGCATGCTTAACTTCAATTGTTTGTGTTTATACATCGAAAGAATGTCACGAAGAAATTTGTTCAATTTGGATGAGTTGTCTGCTCAAAACAGACGACTGAAATTTAACTTGGAATACGAATGGAAAGATAAATCACATCCCTCCGTCTGTCTGTCCGTCTATCTGCCGTCCCGGATTTTTATTAGACAGACAATTTCCGAAAGTACTGGGCCGATTGTTGTCAAATTTTGTATTTATATTAGGTATATCATGTAGATGGTAGAACGCTACCCAAAATTTGTTTAATCATCAAAATTGTACATAGTAAATGGGTTTTAAATTGTATAAAATAACATAGTCTTACACATGTAATTTATGACTCCGAATTGAGATTTTACCCAAAACGTCCACATTTTTGAAAAAAAAATCAAAATTAGGAAACAACATTTTGACATTTAATTTGGAATCAGCAAAACCGAATGCTCTGGAATCTTGCAGATGGTTTACAGTTCTGATAAGCATGATAAGTTTTTATTCAAAATATATTTACTTGTTCCCTACGAAAAATTGATGACGTCACCTCAAAAGTTTGCCGAATAAATCCTATCTGAAATGTAGAAAATATAATGAGTCGGTACTTGTCATTTATCATTCCATTAATATTTTTTGGATTTGTATATACAGGGTGACCCAAAAAAAATGAATGCGTGAATATATTTTATTTATTTAATCAGGAACTACAAAACCAAATACTTGGAAATCTTGGAGATGTTTTACAGTTATCATAGGCATGGTCAATTTTGAGTCAAAATATATTTCCTCATCCACCCTAAAAAATTGATGACGTCACCGTGGTGACCGAATTTGAATTAAGATTTCGCGCTGAAAAAAATTAACGAAATCGCATTTGAATAATTCGATTTTGAACAACAATTAATCAAGAAAATCGTTAAACATAGGCAACCATGTGCACGTTTAGCGCTTTTGGGTAGTGGGTAGCTCTCCTAGGAAATTTCTGGTGACAGGGTTGGTAGAAGTTGATTTAGCGGCTAGAGGAGTGACAGGCGTCACTTTTGTTTTGTTTGGTGTGAGTGAAGCTAGGTTAAGTTTAGTTGGTTTGGTGTAAATGTGTTTGTAAATTCACAGTTCATGTCAGGATTTTAATCGTTAACTGGTTCTAACACAATTTAACAGGCTCCTTTGTTTACCAATTTATTAATAAGATTTCTGGATGCTTATAGGTTAAGTGTCACGTTACAACACTTCTTAATTCCGCACACAAGATTGCTAATAGTTCATTTACGGCAGTTAAATCAATGTAACGTTGCCCCACTCTGGGAAAAGAAGGTACGGTAGAATTCATAACATCGTGGACTGAGAGCGGAAGAAACAACGTTGCTTGAGAAAAATTCACTAATACGCTTTTATTTTTAAAAATTGTTTCCGCGGGGAGGGGCACTGGGACGTGCCATCATGCGTCCCACGCAACTTATAAGTATCCTGAACATAAATAACTTCGAAAAAAAAATTATTTGTTCCAAACAAATCTGATTCAGTCGCCAGTTTGTTCTCAAGCGTTGCAAAATGGGGAAAAATAATTGTTGCATTCTTTTTTGTGTGGGTGCTGCGATTTTCATAGATATTGTGAGTAAGTAGTTCTGGAAGGGTGGTCCTTAGTAAAACGTTCTTGTAAGGTTGGTGGTTTGGTGAAGATCATCGACTCGAGCGTTAACTCCAAACAAGTGGACAGCGGAACTCTCGCTGGTCAAATAGTGCTGAGTCTAGTGTTTCTGCTTAGTGGGATTTTGTTGCTTGTTGGGGCAATCAAGGTAAGGTTCGTCCATGTGGTGCCATCGCTATTTTTTTTTTTTTTTGTTGTAGCGCAAACCGTCATTAATCTTAGCCCATGTTATCATCGAAACTATTTTGCTGGTTCTTGCTGTGATCGGTGTCATAATAATTGGCATTTTTCTGGCAGCCACGGTACCCTTGGCTCTTGTGATGTTGATCATTGTAGTCATTATACTGATTTTGCGCGCCGGTTTAGAATATGCCGTGTATGTGTATTATAAAAATATGAAGAGTGAATTCGAACTCGGGGCCGCGGTTTAGAAGAGCTCCGCAAATTCTTAAATTTAGATAGGCTCGACATGCAAGTTCTCGAGTTTATTTTTAATGTAATACATAAAACGTGTCAAGTACAAAAAGTCTGAATTTGAAATTTTTAATAGATAATAGTACGAAACACGACGTAACTGTCGTTATACATGTAAGTTTGTTTATACTGTACTAATAAATAAATAAATAAATCTTGATTATAATTTCTTTTTTAATTTAAACAGAAAGCAAAAGTTATTCAATCGTCCTTTAATCCAATTGTGTTTTTCTTTGTTTAAGCAATGCTTACACAGGCGGGTTCGCATGCTGTCACAGCTTCCCACGCATATTAACTATAAACATATCTTTTACATTTTTCGTGTTTTTGATTTTTCACTTATTCGATTTTCCAACATTTTGCGACTTTTTAAATGTTACATTTTTCGATTTTTCATTTTTTTGATTCGTTGATATATTTTTTTTAATTCTAGATGTTTCGCTTTTTTGTTGTTTCGATTTCTCACTCTTTCGTTTTTTGTCCTCTCGTTTGTAGATCATCACATTTTATACCAATATACGAGTACTGGTTTCTGGAGGGCTCGAAAATTTTAGAATACAGTAATGTTGCGCCCGTCTATATTTAATAACGATATTATTATTCGCTGCGTGCCTCATTGTCGCATTCTTTCGATGTATAAACATAATTAATTGAAGTTAATTAGCATCTACTGTAAATATATTTTTACTTCAGAGGCAAGGGAAGATCTGTCTAAATAACTTCAGACCAATTTTTTGCGTTTAAAAGAGAAAATCTTGCAGGCGCCTAGTGTTTTTTTTTTTTAAATAAAACAAATCTTCGGTACCTCTTGTGTTTTGTTTTTAAAATACTTTTAAAAAATCTCAAGGATCCGTGGAGTTCTTTATTTGGAAAGACTTTTACAGAATCTTAGGAGCTCCTGGCGTGTGTTTTTTAAATATGTGATGTTTCGGTTTAGAAGGAGAAATCAAAATATTGTCAAAAGCGGAAAATTGAAAAATCAAGAATTTTAAAAATTTAAAAAATCCAAAAATTCAAAAATTAAAATGTCGAATAAATGAAAATGTTGAAAAATGTAAGACTTAAAAATTCGCAAAATTTTGAAAAATCGAGTAAGTAAAAATCAAAAAAACAGAAAGTCGAAAAATCTGAAAATTTAAAAATAGAAATCTTGAAAAATCCCAAAACTTGAACAGACGGAGAAATCGAAACAACAAAAAAGTGAAAAATCTAAAATTTAAAAATTCGAAAAATTGAAAATTTACAAAATCGAGAAATTAAAACATCAATGAATCAAAAAATAAAAAAATTGAAAAATCGAAACATCTAAAAATGAGAAGGCAAAAAATCGAATAAGTAAAAAATCAAAAAACACAAAGTTGAAAAATCTAAAAATTTAAAAATCGAAATACGTACATATTGAAAAGTCCCAAAATTTAAACATTGAAAATTGGAAAAAAAAAATTGAGAAATCGAGACATCGGAAACACGAAAAATCGAAAAGTTGAAAAATTAAAAAATTCCATCAGTCGAGAAATTGGGAAATCGAAAAATCCAAAAATTTTAAAACGCCAAAAATTGAAAAATTGAAAAACTGAAAAATTAATTCCCAAAAATTTAAAATTCGAAAAGTCTAAAAATGAGAAGGTAAAAAATAGAAAGAATGATAAACCGAAACAACAAAAAAGTGAAAAATCTACAATTTAAAAATTCGAAAAATTGAAAAATTGAAAAATCTAAAAGTGTAAGATTTAAAAAATCTCAAAATTTTGAAAAATCCAATAAGTAAAAAATCAAAAAAACAAACTCGAAAAATCTAAAAATTTAAACATTGAAAATTTGAATATCTAAAAATTGAGAAATCGAGAAATAGGAAAGAGGAAAAATCGAAAAATTCAAAAATTTAGAAGTGCCAAAAATTGAAAAATTGAAAAACTGAGAAATTAATTCTGAAAAATTGAAAAATCGAAAAATCAAAAAATGAATAGAAGACAAAAAATCGAAACAACAAAAAAGTGAAAAATCTAAAATTTAAAAATTCGAAAAGTTGAAAATTCACAAAATCGTGAAATCAAAACATTAATGAATCGAAAAATCAAAAAAATGAAAAATCTAAAAATGTAAGATTTAAAAAATTGCAAAATTTTGAAAAATCCAATAAGTAAAACATCAAAAAAACAAAGTCAAAAAATTAAAAAATTTAAACATTGAAAATTTGAGAATCTAAAAATTGAGAAATCGAGAAATAGGAAAGAGGAAAAATCGAAAAGTCGAAGAATTTAAAAAATCTATTAATCGAGAAACTGAGAAATCGAAAAATTTAAATACATAAATCCCAAAACTGAAAGGTTGGAAAATCGAAAAAATTAATTATCGAAAAACTGAGAAATCGAAATTGAAAAACTGAAAAATGAAAGAGATCAAAAATATAAAAATGGGAAAATTCAAAATTGAAAAATTTAAATAAAAAAAAAACGACAAACTAAAAAGTGAAAAATCGAAACATCGAAAAACTGAAAAAGTATTTCCGAAAAATTGAAAAACCGGGAAATTTAAAAAGGAGAAAGCGAAAAATCTAAGAACGAGAAGGCAAAAAAAATCGAACGATTGAGAAATGGAAACAAAAAAATGAAGAATCTGAAATTTAAAAATTCGAAAAATTTAAAATTGAGAAATCGAGAAATCGGACAGACGAAAAATCGAAGTCGAAAAATTAAGAATTTCATTAATAGAGAAATTGGGAAATCGAAAAATCCAAAAATTTAGAAACACCAAAAATTGAAAAATTGAAAAATCTAAAAATTTAAATACACAAATCCCAAAACTGAAACGTTGGAAAATTGCAAAATCGAAAAAATGAAACAATGTTTTGATTTCCCGATTTAGTTTCCCATTTTTAGTTTTTCTTTCATTTTTCTGTTTCACGTTTTCAAATTACACCAAAATTGAAAAATCGAAAACTTAATAATTGAAAAATTGAAACATTTTAAATGAAAAAATCGGTAAACCGAAAAATTGAAAAATCTATAAATCGAGAAATTGAACAATCTAAAAATTAAACAATTTAAAAATCGAAGAATTGGAAAACCAAAAAATCTAAACCGAGAACTTGAAAAATCGAATAATCGAGAAATCAAAACATCAAGGAAAACAGAATTTTTCTGTTCTCTAGAACTTAAAAATTGAAAAATTAAAATTCCTATCGAAAAATTGAAAAACCGAGAAATCGAAACATCAAAAAATGGAAAAATTGAAGAACCGAAACATTGCAAAATCCCAGAACTGAAATACTGAAAAACTGAAAAATGGAAAGAAAATTGAAGAATCGGAAAAGTGAAAAAAATCCAAAACTGAAACATTGAAAAATTCAGAAATCGAAAAATTGAAAAATCACAATTGAAGAAAAATTGAAAAATCAAGAAATAGAGAAATGGGAAAATCAAAAAATCAGTTAATCGAAAAATTGAAAAATCCAAAAAATTTAAAAATCGTAAAACTGAAATATCGGAAAATTGAGAAATCGAAAAATGAAGAAATTCGAGAAACCGAAAATATGAAGAATCGAGAAATCGAAGAATCGATAAATTGAAAAATCCCAATAGTAATATGTCGAAAAATTGAGAAATCGAAATCGAGCAAAACTAAAGTATCGTAAAGTTAATAAATTGAAAAACTGAAAATTTTTGAAAAAAAAATCGTATCAAAAACCAAAAATTCAAAAAATCGAGAAATTGAACAATCAAAAAATCAAAACATTGAAATCCCAGTAAGTTGATAAATAGGAAAATTTAAAAAACAAAAGTTTTAAAAATCCAAGAATTGAACAACAAAAAAAATCTAAGCCTGAAAACTCAGAAAATCGAATGATCGAGAACTCAAACATCAAAGAAAACAAAAAATCTAAAATTTAAAAATTCGACAAATTGAAAAATCATGGAACTGAAAAATCGGAAAGTCGAGATAGTGAGAATTCTAAAAACCTAAAACTTTAAAAACTGAAAAATTAAAATATCGAAAAATTTAAAAACCGAGAAAACACAATATCAAAAATTTGAAACATCGAAGAAACGAAATATTGCAAAATTCCAAAGCTGAAATATTGAAAAACCTAAAAATGGAAGAAAAATTAAAGAATCGAAACAGTGAAAAAATCCCAAACTGAAACATTGAAAAATTGAGGAATGGAGAAATGGGAAAATAAAAAAAATTGGTCTAAAGAGTTTAGACAGTACTTCTCTCGCTATCGGAAACGTGACGACTGCATGCCTATTATGTTTTTTTTTCACATTAGATTTCAAAGCATTCGGTTTTGTAGTTCCTGATTAAATTAATAAAATAAGTTTGCGCATTCATTAAATTTTTTGAGTCACCCTATATATGCGAATCCAAAAAATATGAATGGGATGATAAATTACAAGAAGAGACTCATCAGATTTTGTACATTTTAGATAGAATTTATTCAGCAAAGTTTTGAGATGACGTCATGAATTTTTTAGAGGGGATAAGTAAATATATTGTAATTAAAACGGCCCTGGTTTAATAACAAAAAAAAAATTGCTACTGGGCGTAGGGCTTTTTTAAAACACCTCCTTTCTAGGATAAGTAGTAGATACACTTAGATACTATACGTGTTAAACAAAAGCTGTATTTTATATATTTTTTATTATTATTATAAATATGTTTATTAGTTTTATTAATTAACAAAGCAAAATATATATTAACAATAATATTACAATGAATTTTTAGTAATCATGTGTATTGAATTCAGGATCCTGAGTGGAGTAAAAATATTATAGTTCCCCAGTTTTAATTCGGCTTTATGATAGTACCTCATTGCGTAAAAGTTAATTTCCTTGACAATAGATTACTACGGCCGGTCCTGGCGGCTTGTTATAAAACTGAGTTCCTTGCCATAAATTAGAAAAATCAGTCGAGAACTCTAACAATCAGCTTATGGTAGAGCAGGCGATAAGGTTTTTACCTGGAAAGTCGCTTCCGTAAATTTTAGTGGCGCTCCTATCGGCAAAGCACTGAACTAACTGCTCAAATTCTGTCGAATTGATACCCATTTTTTTCAATAATTGTTAGTTTTTATTAAAAACTCTACTAACCAATAGATCATTAATTTTCCTCTGATATTCCAGTTAAAATTATTCGACGTATTTTGCATTAATTTGTGAAATATTTTGATTTTAATAAACACATTATTATTTAAACAAATTGTACCACTAACAAACATTTAATCACTCTGCGCCCTGTAAAAAGTGCTGTTTTATCCATGTGCGAATTTTCAAGCGATTCTATGAAGGTTATGACTCAAAAAACTTGAAAAGAAAACATACAATGGTGCTTTTTTTACGATATTTCTCAGCCATATTTTTTTAATTGATTGAACTGGTCTCTGCGCTCTAGAATATGAAAAAAGCTGCAGTTTGATGTATGATACATCTATATTAATATCATTTTTTCATACAAAAAACCAAAAAAATGTTATACCTCGTCTAGCGAGTCCCCTTAATTTTTTCTTTTTTGTTTTCTCTTTTCTCTCTTTTCAGTGATTTAAACCAATTGCAACAACACTAGCAACAGTTATAACCGATGCCGCTAACAGTACATTTTGAGTTTTCATTGTTCTTATATTGCTAAACTCGAATTCGATCAAGAACTGAATTTATCTTTTCATAACCTCGCACGTGAAAGAAACAATAACAAACAAACCTTTGGGAACGAATGGGTGAATTTTCTACAACGCATGCGCAGAGACGAGATATCGTACAAGAAGCGCAGGCGTGTCATACAGAAAATCTAACCAACAATTTGGTGTGAAAGATATTTGGTACAATATTTCTTGTACCAAATCTTGTACTAAAAATTGCATCGTGTCACATGGGCTTCTACATATCCTTTTTCGTTGCGAAATTTCTGCGGGTCTTTCCCGTTGATAAATCACTTCTCCGTAAAAGCATCAGTGCGCAAGTTTATAGAAGACCCTGTTCGCGCAGAAGTGCCTCAGCAGCCCGCGATCTTGACTGAACAAAATGGGAAGAAACAACTGTTTTCTTCACTTTTGTGTCGGCCTGGTGGCCTTTCTCCTAGTCGTAAGTAACTATCTAAAAGTCTATCGACTTTGTAAATCAGTTAAGCTCGACGAAGTGTGGAGAATAATTCAAGGATTTACGATAGTCGGAGGATCTAGTGCGACGTCGTTGTGTTTTCAGTTCTTTACGGCCCTCGTGCACTTGGTTCACAGCTCGTTACTGGCGTACGGTGCCATCCAGGTGAGAATAGATTTTTTTGGAGTCGTCGCTTAACGTTGTGTGTTTTAGAAAAAACCCAAGTTAGTTTTAGCCCATATGATCATAACTAGTACTTGTCTAGTTGTGGGTGCAATTCGTTTAGTGGCTATACTTTTTGCGGTGGATCCTAAGGAGGATGTTGGTTTAATCGTTCGGGTTACTGGGACAACTCTTATCATCTTCAGTGGTTTGGAGTTCGCCGTATATAACTTTTATAAGAATCTGAAGAGTGAACTGGAGGAGGTGGACACCCATTCGACTTACAAAGTTTGACGAAGAATTATAAACATTCCTGTAATTTAATTTAATTTACGTAGTGTGTAACTAATTTATTTTTTTTTATTGGGGCAATAAAAGTAAGACTTATTTCTTATTTTGTTTTTATCCTTGTGTTATAAAGACACGAAGAGTGAATTGGAACTCGATGCCACAGTTTTTACGACTAAATTTTCATCCCCTCAAAAATTTGATGACGTTTTTATCTCTTCTAGAAAGATGACGCGTCAGATGCTAATTTCATTGTCTTGAATTATTAATACGCGTAGTTTTCAAATAATTAATGAAGTAATTTATGTTATTGATCACATGGAAAATGCTTACAGGATTTTAGTGCTTATACGACATATTTTTTTTATTTATACACCCATCTAAAAAATTATGACGTCATTCCAAAAATTATTAAAAAAATGTTAAATTAAACTTCAAAGTGACATCTTGTGGTATTTGAGAAACACCACTAGTAAGTGCTATCAAAATAATTCTTTACAACTAGGAACACTGAATTACCTCGTACCCGCCTCGTCAAAAACTATTTTCGTCTGTAAACCTGAAGCGTCGCAATGTAAATCTTCACGTCTCTATCAACCACTACAACTCGACAATCTATGACTGCAATCGATATTTACCTTCACCTGTTGGAAATATTTTCAATTTTTCTCGTAACTACTGCGTAAATACATCGGCGCGCATGTTTATAAAAGGCCCTGTCCGTATAGAAGAACCTCAGTACCTTGAACTTGACTTAACAAAATGAGAAGAAACGACTGCTGCATTCATTTTTGTATCGGCTGTGTGGCCTTCCTCCAAATCGTAAGTAAATTAATATTTTTAAGAATGCATCATGTAACAAAATCATTTAAGACCACCTCAGTGGCCAGAACCATTGACAGAATCGCGCTCATCAAACAACTTGACCTGACGACCATGATTGTTGAGTCCCTTGTTGATTTTACGTTCTTGGTTAGCGGCTCGTTGTTGACATTCGGTGCCATAAAGGTGAGAATAGCTCAGTTTTGAGTCTTCACCTAACCGGTGTGTTTTAGCGAAAGGCCAAGTTGGTTTACGTTCATTTGGTCATAACTGTCATTTCTTTGGCTTTGTGTCCGATTGGTCTTGTGTCTCAACTCATGGATGCGGACCTTCCGGCGGACGATGGACACGCTATACTCACTTGGAGTAGTGTGGCATCTTTTCTGATCTTGACTGGTTTGGAGTGCGTCGTGTTCAAGTTTTATAAGAATCTCAAGAACGAACAGAAGGAGGTGGACAACATCGAGGCGACTTATAAAATTTAACGAGGAATCATCAACATTGTAACTATTATTATTTATTATCTAGTTACTTGTTGCGCCAATAAAGGTTAATTTGAATTCCAAGCAAAACTTATTCATTCATCCATTGCTGTTCGCCGTTGACGTTGCCGTTGTAAGATAAATACGCAGTCAAGGTATGCGTCGTTTATTTCATCCGTTGACGTTGGTAAATTCTTGTAGACACATATGGATCTTGCAATTAAGCCCCGCCCCTCGAACTGGCAACGAATGAAAAAATCATCACAATCGAGATTGGGCGGAGAGACTTATTTTTTGCCTTGTTTTAAGTTTCATGTTGTGAAAAGAAGTCTACACACATTAAAACAAAAGACAAAATGTAAGCCCGCCCACCCGCCCTATCGCCATTGTGATAATTTTTTTATTCGCCGTGAATCAAGAGGGCGGAGCTTAATTGCAAAATTCTAATTTCTTTACAAGAAATTAAAAACATGTTTTGTGTATCGTGTTGTTCAAAGAATACTATGCATATTAAGAAAAAAAATTCAATGTTGTAGCGAGTCCCTCTTCTTAAACATTCGGACTTGTTAAAACCCTCCCTTCCACTTTCCAAGTGAAATATTCTAAAAATCGGACTAGATATGTCGCCAATTATAAATAATCTAAATAGTGAAAAATATTGGTGAAAACCGTTGTAAAAGAATCAATCATCTTTTTAATTGCAAATTGTAGCGAGTTCCTCTTCTTAACAATTCGGACTTATTAAAATACTATTTACTTACTTTTACTTTTAAAATAAAACATTGTAAATATCGAACCGAATAAGTTGTCAATTAAAAATCATTTTAAACACGATATTTTAAATATAATTCTAGTTTCAAATTTAAATTTACCATTTGATATTTTAAGTATTTTGTTGTTGAAAGAAGATTATGTATATGTACTAGGAAGAACGAAGGATAAGCCCCACCCACCCGCCCACATTTTAATTTTAATAAATTTTGTATTCGTTGTGAGATCGGGAGGCGGAGCTTAACTGCAAAGTTCGTATTTCTCTACAAGAAAATACCATGTTTTAAGTATCGTGTGGTTGAAAGAAAACTACACATATTAAGAAAAACAAAGCCAAAGTTTAAGCCCCACCCGCCCGATTTCAATTGTGATAATTTTTTTATTCGTTGTGAGATCATGGGGCGGAGCTTAACTGCAAAATATCGTAAAAAATAGACTATTTTAAGAAAACATAGGGAATTCATATTTTTATTCTTTCAAAAGCAAAAGAAGATCGAAAGAAGAAGAAGAAACCTAAAACATATTTAAAATGGTAAATTTTTCCAGAGAAAATATGGATTTTGCAATAAACTCCGCCCTTCTATCTGACAACGAATAAAAAATTCGTCACAACTGAGGTAGGGGTGGGTAGGTGGGGCTTAATTATAGGCTTGTCTTCAACAACACGATATTTAAAACATAAATCTAACCTCAAATTTACCATTTGATATTTTAATTATTTTATTTTTGAAAGAAGATTATGTGTATGTACTAAGAAAATCGAAAGATAATTTATTTGAGACATAGTCGAAGTGTAGAAAATAGACTATTTTAAGAAAAAATAGGGAATGCATATTTTTATTCTCTCAAAAGCAAAAGAGGATCGAAAGAAGAAGAAGAAACCTTAAACATGTTTAAAATGCTATATTTTTGAGAAATATATGGATTTTGTAATTAAACTCCGCCCTTCTATTTGACAACGAATAAAAAATTCATCACAATTGAGGTAGGGGTGGGTGGGTGGGGCTTAATTATTGACTTCTTTTCAACAACACGATATTTAAAACATACGTCTAACCTCAAATTTACCATTAGATATTTTAATTATTTTATTGTTGAAAGAAGATAATGTATATGTACTAAGAAAATAGAAGGATAAGCCCCACCCACCCGTCCCATCTCAATTGTGATTGATCTATTTATTCCTCGTGAGGCGGCGAGGGCGGAGCTTAAATGGAAACAATTTCTCGACAAGAAAATACCATGTGAAACATTTTTTAAGTATCGTGTGGTTGAAAGAAAACTACACATATTAAGAAGAAAAAGGCCAATAATTAAGCCCCACCCACTGCCCCGATTTCAATTGTGATGAATTTTGTATTCGTTGTGAGATCAGGGGGCGGAGGTTAACTGCAAAATCCATGTTTGAGACACGATCGTATTGTAGAAAATCGACTATTTTGACAAAAAATAGGGAATGAATACTTTTATTCTCTTAAAAGCAAAAGAAAATCGAAAGAGGAAGAAGAAACCTAAAACAGGTTTAAAATGGTATATTTTTGAGAAAAATATGGATTTTGCAATTAAACTCCGCCCTCCTGTCTGACAACGAATAAAAAATTCATCGCAACTGAGGTAGGGTTGGGTGGGTGGGGTTTAATTATTGACTTCTTTTCAACAACACGATATTCAAAACATACGTCCAACCTTAAATTTACCATTAGATATTTTAATTATTTTATTGTTGAAAGAAGATTATGTATATGTACTAAGAAAATAGAAGGATAAGCCCCACCCACCCGCCCCATCTCAATTGTGATTAATCTATTTATTCCTCGTCAGACGGAGAGGGCGGAGCTTAAATGCAAACAGTTTCTCTACAAGAAAATACCATGTGAAACATGTTTTAAGTATCGTGTGGTTGAAAGAAAACTACACATATTAAGAAAAAAAAGGCCAATAATTAAGCCCCACCCACCCGCCCCGATTTCAATTGTGATAAATTTTTTATTCGTTGTGAGATCAGGGGGCGGAGCTCAAGTGCACAATCCATATGTTTGAGACACGATCGTATTGTAGAAAATCGACTATTTTGAGAAAAAATAGGGAATGAATACTTTTATTCTCTTAAAAGCAAAAGAAAATCGAAAGAAGAAGAAAAAGAAACCTAAAATATGTTTAAAATGGTATATTTTTGAGAAAAATATGGATTTTGCAATTAAACTCCGCCCTCCTGTCTGACAACGAATAAAAAATTCGTCACAAATGAGGCAGGGGTGGGTGGGTGGAGCTTAATTATTGGCTTCTCTTTAACAACACGACATTTAAAACATGAATCTACCCTAAAATTTACCATTTGATATTTTAATTATTTTATTGTTGAAAGAAGATTATGTGTATGTACTAAGAAAATCGAAAGATAATTTATTTGAGACATAATCGAATTGTAGAAAATAAATTATTTTAAGAAAAAATAGGGAATGCATATTTTTATGCTCTCAAAAGCAAAAGAAGATCGAAAGAAGAAGAAGAAACCTTAAACATGTTTCAAATGGTAAATTTTTGTACAAAAATATGGATTTTGTAATTAAACTCCGCCCTCCTGTCTGACAACGAATAAAAAATTCGTCACAACTGAAGTAGGGTTGGGTGGGTGGGGCTTAATTATTGACTTCTTTTCAACAACACGAATTTAAAACATACGTCTAACCTTAAATTTACAATTAGATATTTTAATTATTTTATTGTTGAAAGAAGATTATGTATATGTACTAAGAACATAGAAGGATAAGCCCCACCCACCCGCCCCATCTCAATTGTGATTAATCTATTTATTCCTCGTGAGACGGAGAGGGCGGAGCTTAAATGCAAACAATTTCTCGACAAGAAAATACCATGTGAAACATGTTTTAAGTATCGTGTGGTTGAAAGAAAACTGCACATATCAAGAAAAAAACGCCAATAATTAAACCCCACCCACCCGCCCCGATTTCAATTGTGATGAATTTTTTATTTGTTGTGAGATCAGGGGGCGGAGCTTAAGTGCAAAATCCATGTTTGAGACACGATCGTATTGTAGAAAATCGACTATTTTGAGATAAAATAGGGAATGAATACTTTTATTCTCTTAAAAGCAAAAGAATATCGTAAGAAGAAGAAGAAACCTAAAACATGTTTAAAATGGTATATTTTTGAGAAAAATACGGATTTTGCAATTAAACTCCGCCCTTCTATTTGACAACGAATAAAAAATTCATCACAATTGAGGTAGGGGTGGGTGGGTGGGGCTTAAGTATAGGTTTGTCTTCAACAACATGATATTTAAAATATAAATCTACCTCAAATTTACTATTTGATATTTTAATTATTTTATTCTTGAAACAAGGCTATGTACATGTACTAAGAAAATCGAAGGATAATATATATATATATATATATTGCCTATTTTCTTAGTATACGTAGTCGTCTTTCAGAACAAGAAACTTAAAACATTTTTAAAATGGTAAATTCTAGTAGACAAATATGGATCTTGCAATTAAGCCCCGCCCCTCGATCTGACAACGAATGAAAAATTCATCACAATTGAGAATTGAAATCTGGGCGGGTATGAGTGGTGCCTAATCTTTGGCTTTATTTTTTTCTTAATGTACATAGTGTTCTTGGAACAACACAATACTCAAAAACATGTTTTTAATTTCTCGTAGAGACATAAGGATTTTGCAGTTAAGCTCCGCCTTCTTGGCTCACGACCAATAAAAAAATCATCACAATTGAGATAGGGCGGGTGGGCGGGGTTTATATTTTGCCTTGGCTTTCTTAACATTTATAAGACACAATTCTAGTGTTTATCGAACATAAAAAAAATATAATATGTCACCGCCAAAAATTGATGACTAAGGGGCCAATTCCAAGTTGGTGGCGCAAGTCACTGGTGCAGCGCAACTTTATAATGCTAATTTGGGTATCAAAGCCTGGTTGCTAGGGGTGACGGAATAAACAAGCGCAATTTTTCGAATTTTCCATTGAAATTTGCACCATGGAGTTGCGGCACCTCTAGTAGGCAGTGCAAGTTGGCGCAATTTATCTCGAAAAATTGCGCTTGTTTATTCCGTCACCCCTAGCAACCAGCATTTGATACCCAAATTAGCATTATAAAGTTGCGCTGCACCAGTGACTTGCGCCAGCAACTTGGAATTGGCCCCTAAGTATTTAAATTTTGGAACCCCGAACTCTCTCGACTCAGTCTCGTCATAAAATTATGTTCGTGTGTAAGCCTGAAATAATTGAAATTTTCGCTTCTCGATCGATTAAGCCCGAAAAGCTCGACAATCTACATAGTTTCTGGGTCTCTGGGTGTATTTTCTACTGATAACCCTCCTGAGCTCAGCGCATTTATTTTTCGCCCTAACTACTCCTGCGCGTAAGCATCAGCGTTTTAGCGCGCACCTTTATAGAAGTCCTTGCTCGCCCAGAAGGGCCACGGATCTTGAGTGACAAAATGGGGATGAATAAATGCGTCCTTCATTTTTGTGTCGGCTTGGTGGCCTTTCTCCTGATCGTAAGTAACTCAAATATTTAAGGGTGCATCCACTTACAAAATGATTTAAGTTAACTGGAGTGATAAGGATAATTCAAGTATTTACGGCTGGCGAAGAAGTTGGCGGGACGTTTGTGTGGTTTTATTTTATTATGGGGCTCGTGCACTTGGCTAGCGGCGTGTTACTGGCACACGGTGCCATGAAGGTGATAATAGAACTTATTTTGGGGTCTTCGATTAACGGTGTGTGTTTTAGCAAAAACCCAAGTTAGTTTTTGCCCATCTGGTCATAACTATCAGTTGTCTAAGTCTGGCTACAATTGGCGTATTGTTTATAATTTGTTTTATGGATTTATCGGATGGGACAGGAGTCATTGTGGGTTACGTGGCAGCTATAAGCATCTTCTTTGGTTTGGAGCGCATCGTGTACGACTTTTATAAGGACCTCAAGAGTGAACCGCAGGGGATGAACACTCACGCGACTTCTGAAGTTTGAGGAAGGATTACAAACTTTTAGTCAAATTTAATTTTAATTATGTGGTGTGTAACTATTGTTATTTATTATTTTGATACCTGTGATGTGGCGACAATAATAAAGCTAAGTGGATACTATGCCTTATTTTGTTTTAGTATTTATTTGATAAAGACATGAATTGAACTGAAATTCGATGCCACAATTTAGAAGTTAAAAGCGCTCAGCAAACGTTTTGCAAAAAATACCATTTACAAAAATATTTTACTGAATCCCACATACCTAGATATTAGATGTTAGGGACAAAATAAAACACTTGTTGCTAATTTTAAGTGCTGATAAATACGCTTTGCAAAGCTGTTTGTTTTCGACTTACGATTCCATCGTTCTCTTTGTCTATTAAACTGTTAAGGTCGATTTATAAACTTGTCACTGACGTTGCCGTTGTAAGATAAATACGCAGCGGAAGTATGCGTCGTTTATATCATCCGCTGACGTTGCCGTTGACGTTGGATTTTCAACCCATCAAACTTGAAATATGTTTAAAACGGTAAATTCTTGTAGACAAATGTGGATCTTGCAATTAAGCTCCGCCCTTCGATCTGCTAACGAATCAAAAATTCATCACGATTGAGATCGAGACGGATGGGTGGGGCTTCTCTTTTTTAATTAATACATTTAGTTTTCTTTGTATAACACGATTACTTAAGAACATTTCACATGGTAATTTGTCGGAGAAAAAAAGGATTTTACCATTAAGCTCCGCCCCTTGGCTTACGACGAATACAAAAAATCATCAGAATTGAGATAGGGCGGGTGGGCGGGGCTTACATTTTTTTTTGTCTTAATACATATACATAGCCATCTTTTCACAACAAGAACTTAGAACAAGTTTGAAATGATACATTGTTACTAGGAAATATGGATTTCGCAATTATGGAGCGGAGCCTAATTGCATAATCGATATTTCCTTCTACAAATGTTCCACTTACATGTTTTAAGTTTCAGTCAAAATGTAAGCCCGCCCACCCGCCCTATCTTTATTGTGATGATTTTTTTATTCGCCGTGAACCAAGGGGGCGGAGCTTAGCTACTAAATACTTGTTTCTTTACAAGAAATCACAAACATGTTTTTGAGTATCGTGTAGTTCAAAGAATACTATGTGTATTAAAAAAAAAAAACTCTTCTAAGAAAATGTACTAGCCCCGTTCACCCACTCTTTATTTTCTTTGAAAACTGGGTCATCTGCCAAAATGAGTCTTATTTTGGCAAATACTAGCTCCACCCACCCGCCCTTTGTTTAAGAGTAGATCATTTGCCAAAATTAGTCTTATCGTAGTGCGTACTACTAGATTCTACAGTTTTTCGTTTTTTCAACTTTCGAATTCTTCAATTTCTCGCTTTTTAAATTTTCAATTTTTTGATCTGTCTTTTGATTTTTGATTTCTCTGGACAACTGAAAAAACTTTAGATTTTTTTAATTTTACAATTTTGGCAGTTTTCCGATTTCTCAATTATTTGATTTTTAAAAATATCGAGAAAATAAATGTTTATTTTTTAAATTTTCGATTTTTGATTTTTTTTTCACCGAATTTTTGGAAGGAAGTAAAAAGAAATTTTGATCTGCGATTTTCCATGTTTACCGAAACTTTAGAACACCTGAAAATTTTGTTCTTTTAGTTAAAAAACCGAAAAATGACAAATCGTGAAAAGGAAAAATTTTAACTTGACAGCTTGAAAAATCAAAAAATTGGAATTAAAAACTGCAAAATTGTCAAACAAATTATCAAATGAAATATTCAAGAATTGTTTTTTTTTCAATTTTTCGATATTTCAGTTTTTGATTTTCCGATTATACAGTTGCACAATTTTCTGATTTCTCATTTATCCGATTTTTCAATTTGTCATTTTTTGATTTTTAGCAAGTATTAGCCCCGCCCACCCACCCTTTCTTTTCTTAGAAGAGTGGGTCATCCGCCAAAATTAGTCTTATCTTGACAAATACTAGCCCCGCCCACCCACCCTTATTTTCTTAGAGAATATGTCAGTTGCAAAAACATCCTTGCGAAGATAAGACTGATTTTGGCAGATGACATGTCCTCTGAGAAAACAAGGGTGGGTGGGCGGGGCTAGTATTTGTTAAAATAAGACTGATTTTGGCAGATGACCCACTCTTCTAAGAAAATAAAGGGTGAGTGGGTGGGACTAGTACTTGCTAAAAATAAAAAAAATTAAAAATCAAAAAATGAAAAATTGAAAAATCGGATAAATGAGAAATCGGAAAATCAAAATTTGAAATATCGAAAAATTGAAAAAAAAAACTAATCTTAAAAAATCGAAGATCTGAAAATTTTGTTTCTAATTTTCAATTTTTCAAAATTTCGGTTCGAATAAATTTCTTCTTTTAGTTAAAAATCGAAAAATGACATATCGTGAAAAATAAAAATTTTAAACTTGAGAACTTTAAAAAAGAAGAATTAAATTCAATTTTCCGATTTTTCATTCATTCGATTTTTCAATTTATCATTTTTTGATTTTAAATTTTTTTATTTTCAGCAAGAGCTAATAACACCCACCCTCCCTTTACTTTCTTAGAACAATAAGTCATCTGACAAAATCAGTCTTATTTTAACAAATACTAGCCCCGCCCACCCACCCTTGTTTTCTTAGAGGATATGTCATTTGCAAAAATCAGTCTCATACTTGCGAAGATAAGACTGATTTTGGCAGATGAGCTATTCTTTATTTTCTAAGAAAAGTATGTCATTGGCCAAAATGAGTCTTATTTTGGCAAATATTAGCTCCACCCACCCGCCCTTTGTTTTCTTAAGAGAGTAGATCATTTGCCAAAATTAGTCTTATCGTAGTGTGTACTACTAGATTCTTCAGTTTTTCGATTTTTCAACTTTCGAATTCTTCAATTTCTTGATTTATTAATTTTACAATTTGGCAGTTTTCCGATTTCTCAATTATTTGATTTTTAAGAATATCGAGAAAATAGATGTTTATTTTTTTAAATTTTCGATTTTTGATTCTTTTTCACCGAGTTTTTGGAAGGAAGTAAAAAGCAATTTTGATCAGCGATTTGCCATGTTTACCGAAACATTAAAACATCTGAAAATTTCGTTTCTAATTTTCAATTTTTCAAAATTTCTGTTGCAATAAATTAGTTCTTTTAGTAAAAAATCGAGAAATGACAAATCGTGAAAAGGAAAAATTTTAACTTGAGAACTTGAAAAATTAAAAATCAAAAGATTCTAAAATTGTAAAGTTAAAACTTGAAAAATCAAAAAATTGGAACTAAAAACTGCAACATTGTCAAACAAATTATCAAATAAAATATTCAAAAGTTGTAAAAATCTAAAAACTAAAAAAAAATGAAAACTGGAATTTCAAATTTGATTTTATAATTGTTTTTTTTTTTCAATTTTTCGGTATTTCAGTTTTTGATTTTCCGATTATACAGTTGCACAATTTTCCGATTTCTCATTTATCCGATTTTTCAATTTGTCATTTTTTGATTTTTCAATTTTTTTATTTTTAGCAAGTATTAGCTCCGCCCACCCACCCTTGTTTTCTTAGAGGATATGTCATTTGCAAAAATCAGTCTCATACTTGCGAAGATAAGACTGATTTTCCTAGCAGAGTAGGTCATTGGCCAAAATAAGTCTTACTTTGGCAAATACTAGCTCCGCCCACCCGCCCTTTGTTTTCTTTGGAGTAGATCATTTGCCAAAATCAGTCATATCGTAGTGAGTACTACTAGATTCTTCAGTTTTTCGATTTTTCAACTTTCGAATTCTTCAATTTCTCGCTTTTTAAATTTTCAAATTTTTGATCTGTCTTTCGATTTCTGATTTCTCTGGGCAACTGAAAAAAACTTTCAATTTTTTAATTTCACAGTTTTGGCAGTTTTCCGATTTCTCAATTACTTGATTTTTAAAAATATCTAGAAAATAGATGTTTATTTTTTAAATTTTCGATTTTTGATTTTTTGTCACCGAGTTTTTGGAAGGAAGTAAACAGAAATTTTGATCAGCGATTTTCCATGTTTACCGAAACTTTGGAACACCTAAAAATTTTGTTCTTTTAGTTAAAAATCGAAAAACGACAAATCGTGAAAAGGCAAAATTTTAACTTGAGAACTTGAAAAATCAAAAAATTGAAATTAAAAACTGCAAAATTGTCAAACAAATTATCAAATGAAATATATATTCAAAAGTTGTAAAAATCTAAAAACTAAAAAAAAAATGAAAACTGGAATTTCAAATTTGATTTTATAAGAATTGTTTTTTTTTCAATTTTTCGATATTTCAGTTTTTGATTTTCCGATTATACAGTTGCACAATTTTCCCATTTCTCATTTATCCGATTTTTCAATTTGTCATTTTTTGATTTTTAAATTTTTTGATTTTTAGCAAGTACCAGCCCCGCCCACCCACCCTTTCTTTTCTTAGAAGAGTGGGTCATCCGCCAAAATTAGTCTTATCTTGACAAGTACTAGCCCCGCCCACCCACCCTTATTTTCTTAGAGAATATGTCATTTGCAAAAATCAGCCTCATTCTTGCGAAGATAAGACTGATTTTGGCAGATGACATATCCTCTGAGAAAACAAGGGTGGGTGGGCGGCGCTAGTATTTGTTAAAATAAGACTGATTTTGGCAGATGACCCACTCTTCTAAGAAAATAAATGGTGAGTGGGTGGGACTAGAACTAAAAATAAAAAAAATTAAAAATCAAAAAATGACAAATTGAAAAATCGGATAAATGAGAAATCGGAAAATCAAAAACTGAAATATCGAAAAATTTAAAAAAACTAATCTTAAAAAATCGAACACCTGAAAATTTTGTTTCTAATTTTCATTTATCAAAATTTTGGTTCGTATAAATTTCTTCTTTTAGTTAAAAAATCGAAAAATGACATCGTGAAAAAGAAAAATTTTAAACTTAAGAACTTAAAAAATTAAAATCAATTTTCCGATTTTTCATTCATTCGATTTTTCAATTTATCATTTTCTGATTTTTAATTTTTTTTATTTTTAGCAAGAGCTAATTACACCCACCCACCCTTTACTTTCTTAGAACACATCTGCCAAAATCAGTCTTATTTTAACAAATACTAGCCCCG